TCTGAAACCTTTTTTTAAACCACATTTTAACAAATGTTTTGAAACTTTTTCACTAGGTCCTCCTATGTATGTAATTGTTTTAAAATTGTTCGTGTTCCGTATTAGGTTTCGGATAAATAGAATTTACTGTTGTCTGTATTTGTTTTTTTATTTATAATTTTATCTATAATGGACGGATTGTAGCTGTTGTTCAGTGCAATTTGTTTAATGATTTTAAGTTCTTTGTTGTAATTTTCTGTTAAGAAGTCTGTGTATAAAAGAGTTAAATGCAGCCATTTTGTGTGTATAAGGGTGATTTGAGCTGTTATGTATGACTGTGTGCGTGTGTGAAGGTTTATGATATATTGAAAAATCTAATTTGTTTTGCGCTTTCGTAATAGTTAAGTCTAAAAAATTAATAGAGTTATCCTGTTCAATCTCGATAGTGAATTTTATAAGATTATGTAATGAGTTAATGTAATTTAAAAAAGAATTCAATTATCTGTCTGTGATGACACTATATTCCGGGATATCATCCGTTCGCTTGTTGAACTCCGACTGGAATCCTGCAGACGTTTCGCCAAAATCTCACTTGGCATCTTCAATACTCTCGCTCCGAAAACACTTCGAACACTGGGAGTGTTATCGGCGGTGCGTGCGTTATTTATATCCTGCGCCGGAGATGGTAACGGTGCTGCTTGTGCGGGAGGGGAGGTGGCTCCGCCCCCCGAATTGTCCCGTTGTTAATTTCGCCCGATCGTAGTTGCGATGTCCCCGTTGGCTGCTGCTCCGGCGCAGGGTATAAATACCGCACGCACCGCCGATAACCTCCCAGTGTTCGAAGTGTTTTCGGAGCGCGAGCATTGAAGATGGCAAGTGAGATTTTGGCGAAACGTCTGCAGGATTCCAGTCGGAGTTCAACAAGCGAACGGATGATATCCCGGAATATAGTGTCATCACAGACAGATAATTGAATTCTTTTTTAAATTACATTAACTCATTACATAATCTTATAAAATTCACTATCGAGATTGAACAGGATAACTCTATTAATTTTTTAGACTTAACTATTACGAAAGCGCAAGCGCCAACGGGGACATCGCAACTACGATCGGGCGAAATTAACATATATATATATATATATATATATATATATATATATATATATATATATATATATATATATATATATATATATATATATATATATATATATATATATATATATATATATATATATATATATATATATATATATATATATGTATATATATATATATATATATATATGTATATATATATATATATATATATATATATATATATATATATATATATATATATATATATATATATATATATATATATATATATATATATATATATATATATATATATATATATATATATATGTATATATATATACATATATATATATATATATATATATATATATATATATATATATGTATATATATATACATATATATATATATATATATATATATATATATATATATATATATATATATATATATATATATATATATATATATATATATATATATATATATATATATATATATGTATATATATATATATATATATATATATATTGTTCAGGTTCTGTATTAGTTTTCGGATAAATAGAATTTACTGTTGTCTGTATTTGTTTTTTATTTATAATTTATATATATATATATATATATATATATATATATATATATATATATATATATATATATATAAATTATAAATAAAAAACAAATACAGACAACAGTAAATTCTATTTATCCGAAAACTAATACAGAACCTGAACAATTTAAAACAATTACATACATAGGAGAACCTAGTGAAAAAGTTTCAAAACATTTGTTAAAATGTGGTTTAAAAAAAGGTTTCAGAACTAACAACACAATAGGAAAATATTTAAAAAACAATAAAACGAAATGTCCAAAATAATCAGTTGTCTACAAGTTGAAATGCGGATCTTGTCCTAAAATTTATGTTGGACAAACAGGTAGATCCTTCAAGAAACGCATTAACGGACATAAAAGAGCGTTTAAAACAATAGTCTAGATTCTAATTATTTTACACACTTAAACACAGAAAAACACATTTTAGACGACAATTTTCATATTTTACATACAGCTACAAAAAGTAGAAAATTAAATTTATCGGAAGCCATGGGGATTAACAAATTGAGACATTCAAAAGTATTGCTTAACGATCAATTAAATTTAAATACCTCTCCTTTGTTGAAGTTAAATTCTCACAACAACATTAATTAAGGTTTTATAGTCATTTTTCGGTTTATATAGTATCAGGTAGTTTGTAAATATTACATTTGATAAAATATGAACTTTTAGTTCTTATTTATTTTGATTTTTACAGAAATTTCACCTACTGCTTTTGAAGTGAGTGATACATTTTAGAAAATAATTTGTCAGGTGAAAAAAATTCTGTCATATATCGTAATAATTCGATTGATTCGTAATTCTTCGTATTGTGATGGCTTTAGATTCCTTCAATAGTTTTATTTTTATTTTTAGGTTTAAATTGTTTATAATAATTGACAAGCAGCAACTGCGAGTGTAATCTAGAGCAAAATTACGGACCACCTTGCTTGGAAGGGCACAATTGGCACCCTGGTAGTACAAAGTAGGACAAAAACTTCTACTGGCTGACTTAAATTCGAAATGAGCTGTCGTCGTGTAGCGCACGTGTCGGTAAGCGTACCAACGAGCCCAACGCATTCGCCATTCTAACGAAATTTGAATATTGACTTACTCGCAGTTTATTAATAAATATTATCATAATCAGCAATAATAATTGCTTCTGAAAAACCATTCCTCCCGCGAATGGTCGGGTTTTAAGGCTAGCAACAAGTTGTGACGTTATTTGGGGGGAAATTATACCAGAACAAAAAATAAATCAACCGAACAAAAGAAATCTGTATACATGTCCGTACCAACATAGGCCACAAATCACCAAGACACTCTGTATATACTTACGTAAAAGTCGTAACGGCATACAACCAAGGTACTTACAGTACCCGACGAGCCGCACGCCTACTGTAACCGGTTATACAGTATGTTTTAGGACTTCTCTCCAAAATCGAATTTATATAGCTCACGGAGAATTCTTTATGAGCTTGACGTACCCACCAACCTTAGCGTAGTAATTTTTAACGTGCTCCTACATACAGTTTCTTGGGAAGTACGTGACGTGATACCGTGATGCTATGGCACACAATACACACTAAATTTTACTAAATCTACGGTACACCTGTTCGGTAGGAGTGCATTCAAAAATCTATGTCGTCGTTGTCTAGGACCCGGGGCCGACGCATATGGTGAAACGCATCGTTGATCGATAATAAAAGTGAAACACAAAAGGTGATGATGATGGGTGCGAATATTAAATTAATCAATTTTCGAACCGAAACGCCGAAACACTACGAGAGTTTTTACTAGGGTTTTTTTTTTCGGAACGTGACTGCGCCATTTTCATTCACGCCGATCACCTTCCGCCGCGTATCAAATTGACGCCTGTGTTTCCCAAAACTCGTCTTGGTAACACCTTTGTGAATAACGCGTTTTTTGCTATAGTAACGGAAATAGTTTAATATGTTTTATCCGCTTGAATTGCTTGCTTTGCAATATTAAAAAGTAAAAAGGCATATATGCTGAAAATCCGTGGGTAACGCAGCCTTTGTTTGATAGTGTTCATAATAAAATTTTCTCCGAGTGGTAAATGACAGAGGAATTATGGTGCACAGTATAAAGGAATTCGGGAATAATTCCTACTAATTTCACAGCAAAGCTCTCCAGACAAATTATGAGCATAAAAGGAATTACGGTGTACCGAATGACACAAGATGTAGATACCTACGTCTTTGTACAGCTTATAACCGCCATTCGTGATATAAAATACAAAAGTGTATAAATATATTTAAAAGAGTGATAAACTCTGAGTGTAGGTTAGCCCGTATTTAGTTGGTTTGTTAACAGCCTAGCCGAACACTCTCGGATAGTCGAAATCAACAATTTTCTCAGCATATGAGTTATTCGGCAAGAAATTTCAGAGGAATCCAAAGAATTGTAAACATAAAAGGAATTACTTTGTACCGGGTGACAAGATGTAGTTGTCCCTCAGAAAAAGTTTTGCAAAAATGTACCCTAATGATCGTAGAAAAAGTATAGTATGCAATACGTTCTTTAGTTAGGTATTCGTTTATTGCACTCAACAGTTATCATCTTTAGTATATTTTTCTTAGTTAACTTTTCTAATTCAAATTTTAGTTTTTCTCTTACTTTTGTTTCTTGTATTTAAACATATCAAAATTGCAAAATTAAGCAATTAAAAAAAGGACTGTTTTTACAACGTTTGAATGATAAAAAACCAAGTTTATGGTTGACATGTTCAAATAACGTTTATGTGTAAATTATAGCTTATTATAACTGCCAATAACAACAATAATAATAGTGACTATAATTTAATACTATACTATACTACACAGCTTTTCTTCCACTTTTAGCCACCGAAGCTCCGGCGAACTTGTAATTTAAATACTTCCCAATGATGCCAATGATTTAAAAACATCTTAAAAAATAATGGTATAGTTTAACTGATAAAGAACGACTGTTTGTTTGATTTTCCAAAATAATTTAGTCTTGTCTTCATTCGATCACAATCAACGCTGCTAAATACTGGAAACAAAAATAATATCATATCGACCATTGTTCACGGTTTTCCAAAATTCGACAGTGTCCTGTCATTTGGTACCCGCGTTCAGAAATTTACTTCTGCAACATCCTAGACTAGAATCGCACTAGGCTTCGATCCTGCGCGTTACGAGCAAACGCTTAACTGAGTACTAAACCACCGCTCTCGCATACCGCAACCTTAAACACGTATTATTAACTTCGATATAATTATTGCGACCTCCGTACAACACAAACTGATAAAATCTAGTATAAAACGGTCGCTTGCGGTTTTTTCATCCGAGTAATAAATAATAAAAACGTATTTGCACGCTATTACAACATGTTATCAACCAATTTTCGTTCTCTCCTTGAGAGACTCGTCTGAAATTAAAGCCTTATGTATGGTTTTTCGTGTGTACGCGGTATAATCTATATGAAAGGCAGACGTGATCTTCTGCTGCGACCTTGGAGCTATTTAGTGTTCTTTGTCAATGTAACCAACGTATCCCATCCACTATTTAAAATGAACATTTATTTTCTTCATTTAAAGAATTACTTTTAGAAAGAAAAAGAGTTTTTAAATATTTAAATTTAAAAAAGTTTGATGTTATCCATACAATGAGCAAGGATCGTGATGGTACATTATACAACAAGTCGGATTAAGGACTCTTTAGTCACGGGCCGAGCGTAGCGGACAGTTTTATCAATGTGCTGCATACCATCCTTTTTCTACTACCTATAGATTTTGCAAAACAGCACGAATGCCGCGTGATGGACGAAGTGACCGTCAGGCTGACAAACGTTAAAATACCATGGCTAAAGTCTACCAAAAACATCCGATCTCTCTCAAAACCGTGACTAAAATGAACGAGTAACTGAAACATTGTAATTTTTTTACCTTTTTCTATCTCCTCCTAACAATTAGCAGCCCTGTTCACCTAATTGTTTTAACTTTAATTTCTCTGTTATAAATATTATTCGAGTTCCCTTTTCAATAAATGCACTCTATCAGGTTGACATTTCGTCAAAATTTTTGTCTACTCCCTGCCCAGTTAAATTATCTCTCAAATTAGATTTCTTATTGTTTGCATATTTCTGGGTATTTATGGTGAATTACTTCTTAATGATATACTAATTTAAATTATGCTTAATAAAGGCAAATTAGTTCAGCAATTTTATTTTAGCCAGCGCAGATCAATCAAAAAACGACGTAGGAAATTTAGTTAGTTTTTTTAGTACTCGACAAAATTTAAACTAACATATCTCTACTTTAAGGGTTCGCTTGTTTGCCAGATCGCCGGCGCATGCAACATGAAACATTTGTTCATAAGAAAAAACACTAATTGACAAAACATCTTCCTCCAAAAAATTATCGCAAGTTTGAAAGAAAGTATTTACCTACCGAATGTCAATTGTTAAAATAATGTTACAAGACCCAACGAGAATAGAACGAACAAAGCATTTTAGTGATACAATAAAGCTTTGGCGCCCTTTAAATTCGTTTAGACGAACACAGCAATCCTTTTCGGATTTTACAACCATTTCGTTACAGTGCTCGTGGATCACTAACCCGCTTAACGTCTGTACCATTTTCGTCCATTATTCGCATCAATTCGTGCAAAAAAGTGGCCGCACAAACCAATGTCACAATGATTTCCGACACAATGGGAAACCCTAACTAAACAGCACCGCCTTTGTTTATATAAATATTTATAATAAATTTGGTGCGGTTTTTATGCAGATGGACATGATACTCTCAATCATTTTTGTGATTTTGTTGCGTATATTAGGTTAGTTCTGGTTTATTGTAGACTTTGAAGCAAATATTATTTGAACTCGTGTCGTAGTTTTTGTGACCACTATGTCTGGGGTGACACCAAATGGAGAAGTTTTTCTTTGCTTGCCTGAAGATACGGTTTGTCCCACAATTGGCCATCTGGGCTCGGATATTATTGATCCTAGAATTGTAACTCCTGTAAGTACGACAAGTTAAGTCAAGTTGTTTGTTATCACTTGTTGCTTTAACACAGGGTCGTGTACCATTTAAAACGCTACATACTAGGGCAGTAAGTAAATTCTAGTTATTTGACACACCGAATTCAAGGTTAAATATTTTTTTCTCCTCTTGATACCATTTGAACTGATACGAAACACTACTTGGGATATTTTAAATTATACAGATAGACTTAAATAATTTAAGAAATCTTAATAATATTCTTGTTTAATTTAACAGGAAAAAACCACGGATACATAGAAGACATTAACCCAATATTGCCCAAATTTCTTTCACAGAATGTCTTTTGAAGGTCAAATTCTTTCACCTGAAACTTACTCGGTCAATTTCTACAACTATCTAAATAGTGTAGGATTTTACTTAAATACAATGTCACCATACAATGTGTAAATACGCCCTTTTTCAAATCAATCAAATCAAAATTTGGTGTATTATTAAATTAAAAAGCCACAACCAAATCTCATTTGCTTCATAATATCATCCACTGTGTTCTAATATTAGTTGGGTATTATGTTCACCTGTTTCAGACTGGACTTTGCCCGTCTGGATTTTATCCATGTTTTGGAATCGACCCAAAGTGCGGCCAACGCCTGATCGCAGACATCTCGACGGAGGACGGTGTATCCGATCCAGGAGGTTACCCTTGGCAAGCATATTTGAGAAATGTCACGCACATATTCTCCGGTAGCGGTGCCCTTCTCGACTCCTTCCACGTTTTGACGGCAGCCCACAAAATCGCCAGTATCGAGTAAGTTCACGTAGCGATCTAAAGTCCAAATGATCCCCTCTCGATGTTAGGGATCAACCGGAAGATCTTACTGTGTATTTTGGAGTGTGGAATCCGTCAAACCTGAAGGACACTCAGAGTTCCATCGTGGCCGATATAAGGATACACCCCTCATTCAACTCTAAAACTTTGTTGAACGATATAGCTATATTGCGACTGCGCCAGCCGATCGTATTTGGGATCCATAATACCATAAACACAATCTGTTTGCCCGAATATGAAACCGATTTCATAGGTTCGCTGTAAGTCTTGGCATTTGGAATATTACTGTTAAATTATAATTGTTTTTCACTTATTTTCAAAGGTGTTCAGTCGCCGGTTGGGGACAATCGTCCTTCAATTCTTTAGACGCGCCCACCTCACCCCAAAAGCAAGTAACGGTGAAAGTAGCAGACGCGAAAACTTGTAGGGATTCTTTCGCCAAGCCGAACTTGTTGGGCACAAATGTAGATGTTTACCTCGATCAGGTGGGTGAAATCTGCGCAGGTGGTGAGGCCATGAGAGATGCCTGTACGGTAAGTAATTTCTGGTTTCTGTCGTTATATTCCTGACGACGCATCTCTTGACTTTCCTTTAAAACGCATGTTGCTATAGCATAAATTGCTTGCGAAGACTTCTACTTCCCCGAAAAACCATGGTCTTGTATGGTTCTGCTTTCTTCATTCATCAATTAATTAATTTAATTCATATCATAGCAGGACGGCGGCTCGCCCCTGGTATGTCCTGGATCCGACGGCAAACTTAATGCAGCTGGTTTAGTTATTTGGGGCAAAAACTGCGGTCAACCAGGGGTATACGGAGTGTACGTAAACTTGCCTTACTATAGCAACTGGATCCAGACGACCATCGAAAGCTTGAACGGTTTGTATGCTAGGTGAATTCTATCACTGTCGTTCCGACCGCATACAAACAACGGACTTTAGTTCTAGTTAACTGGATGTTTTTTTATTGATTAAATAAAATCCTATGCTAATTGCACATGTTTTCCGTTCAGTTTTAGACAACGTAGTCACCTCCAACTACAAACGGCTTACTTTAATTTGAACTATAACAATTTAACAATTGTTTGAGAGTTTGAAATTCGACTCAGGAATTCTAGTGAACAGATGTTGGACTTCAGTGATACAAGAATACCAGGCATTGAGAACTCTTGGTTAGGTTCACACTGCTTGATCTGTGTGTAGACTTAGTTATTATATTGCAATAACTTTACCTTCTAAAATGCCTTTTCCGCAAATTATAAGTAGGTGCATTTGGCAAAATAATAGTATGATCCTGTGTATCACTTACTTTTGAAAAAGTGAAAATTGTATAACGTCCAGGTTTTTGCGATGGAAACTTTTAGATATCTTTCTCAATCATAGAAAGGAACTTGAGGAATTTGAGTGATGTTGTAGTACACAACAAGTGAGTTGTGTTAGTGCAGTTAATGCTGGATTCACTTCTATTTATTATTTTCACCAATATTGAATAGACGACAGATGCAGCATAGAAATTGCTTGGATGTGATATTGAGAATAAAAAAGGCTTTTAGCTTTGCTTCTATTTCCGAGATAATTTATCTTTAAATACAAATAATATTTTCCGGAAGATTGTAACTCTGTTGTGAAAACTGTATGTTGTAACTTTTATTACAAATAAATTGTGAAGAATATTTAGTTCTTGCCTTTGGGATGTTTTATATTCTTATCGATTGGCCATAAAGTTAGTTTTACATTGTACTAAGTGGTCAGTAAAGTATATCTATACATCTCTCTTTTTATTACTGTTTTTTAATTTAAATTTAACACTTTTATTGCTGTATTTTAACACACTATACTCCTCGTGGTAGCCGTTTTTGGATCCCATCGGCTGGGCGTTGTAACTGTTACTAAATACCTGGAAAGTGCGTAACAAAATTACGAGGTAATTACACGTTTTATTTTTAATATTATGGTTCGCTTATCGAGTCCATCTATCTTTAGGGGATGTGCTGCACTTTTTCCGTTTCCGTTTGACAATGCATCTAATTAAAGCACATTTAGTAAACCAAAACGAGGGGTCGCGGTTATCGCGGATTTGATCTCACCGTTCGTACTACGTAGTTAGACATAAATTTAGGTTTCATGGAACGTTAATCATTCTAAAGGTAAATAGACCTCCCTCTACGTGGTTCGCGCGCATGCGTAATTACTGAACTAGAAGTTGTGATTATTCCACACTTTATTTTTTTTTCCTACAATAATTTAAAGAAATCTAGTGGCCGGACATGTGGAGCATGTGGTGGTCCCTCTACTACACGCCATCGCACATTGTATCCAAGTGAGGTAGGCCGGAACGCTGACGTAAACTCCATAAACGCCCGCCAATCCGCAATTTTTACCCCAAATCACCAGGCCGACCAAACTAAAGTCGTTGGTGTTGGCGTTCTTGCAGACCAACGGTGAACCTCCGTCTTGCTACAAATGAGCATGTTATAGCCACCAAGTGTTACGATATGTAAGTAGTTCACACCGTGCAAGCATCTTGGTTAGCACCGCCGCCGGCACAGATCTCGTTAGGAAAATCTAAGTACAGATCGGCGTTATTGCCCAGGAGTGAGGGGTTCAGATAAGATGTTCTGCATTGTTCGTTGGTCACTATGGGAACGTGCACTTGCTTCAAGGTCTGGGTTGGGGCATCGTCTGTGCTAAAATTGGTCTGACCCCAACCTGATACGATGCAACTAGCACTGAAAATACGTCTAAGTAATAGGACGTCTTTCGAAATTAATATCGGCATACCTCGAATAACCTATGAAACTCTGCCCTGCTGGTGGTAGGCATACTATCCCGGTATTACCTCCGATATTCATGGGCGTAGCCAACTGCAGGACCGCTATGTCGTTCTTGAGCGTTTGTTGATTATAATTTGAGTGAATCCACGCGCCACTGACTTGCGAGGTTTGAGTTCCGGCCAAGTTTGAAGTAGAATAAGCACCGAGAATTACGCTAACACTGGTTCTATTAATAAGTAACATTCAGTATTGGTAGAAAAATCAAACGCCACTTACAAATTCGTTATCTTATGGGCGGCCGTCAGGACGTAGTACTGACTAAGTAACGCACCGCCACCCACGTAACCGTTTTTCACGCCCAAATTAAGATTGTTCCGTAGAAAAACTTGCCATGGGAAGGCATTTTGTGTAGCAAAGCCATCTGTAGTAGCTGGTTGAACACTCGGTGTTCCACAAGCGACGTTTGTACATTGGATGTAACCCGCAGGGCAGCTTTCGAGATTGCCTGAGGTCGTTGGTACCACTATGTTGACCTAGAACTTAAAGATTTTAAAAGATCGGCATTACAATCGGATGGGTTACCTACAACTGGGTTGCTTGTACCTGGTATTAGTATACGAGGATCAATGGTGCCACCATCTTTGCAAAGTGATGGTAGCACACAAGAAAACGTTCTTTGAGTTTTAGCAGTACCTGAAACGAAGTATAAGATAAGCATTACGAATAACTTATACTATGTGATCTTTGAAGCAAAAACTCACTGGCAAGTAATGCAAGAACGACACCAATAATTGACATTGTCATTTTCGTGTTTAACATTAAACTGATTTGCGGACATGTGTACAATAGTTTTGTGTTACATTTTATTTTATAATCTGCATTGCGAATCGACACACGCAATTAGCTCCACCTTCCATAATGGCGCTGAAATCCCCGTCCCATTTTTTTCTGAAATAATATTTTAATAGCAGGATATGCGTTATATATCGGTTTTGTACCCATTGCCAGGAATAGACCTTGCGTCAGGCGCGAAGGTGAGAATAATTTCGGTGATAATGACCCTTTGATAATAAAAATTGGAAAATGTTGTTATAAATGCGCTACTATATTATGGACAAGAGCAGTTCGTTACAGATTATAACCTGTACCAAATTAAAAATACATAAAGGATACATGTTGGCACTTCAGTTAATTTTAATATGACAATGGCTTGATAATTATAACAATGCAATATTAAACAAAATGGAGTTAAAAACAATTCAGAAAAGAGATAAAAGCTCCTAACACTAAATTTATTAACGACAAGAAATAAGCAAAGCGAAACAAAATAGTATCAACTAGTTAGAGCTTACATAATCCTGTATCACTTACTAGCAGGAACAAGTAACATTTGTTAAGATATGCTAATTATTAAGATTTACACATCGTCAGTAAATAATTTGTAATAGTGTGTTTGCAAGGGCAAATGCATATAACTGCAAGGGGCAATTGATTAAGAGTGTGAGCACGACAGTCTTAAATTTAGTTTTATTAAATAAAATAGGGATGATTCTGAGTCAATGAAATAATATGTAAATAAGCAAGTAATTCTATGAATAACGATTTGTCCTCCATTTTGTATGAGACTCTTCCATAATCACGAATGTTGTAAATAAAACACGACATTGCATCCTTTCTAGTGTATTAATATTAAAACAACATAGTTAAAATGACTTAAAACCAAGGAGTATGAAAGTCTAATTCTTTGAATAGCCCATAGTAAGTCCAAATGAGAAAACAACATCCTTTAATTCATATATCCATCGTTCTGTATATATGATATATAAGATATTATATGTGTATTTTTCTGTATGTGTGTTTGCATATATTTTTATTATGTAGGTTGATTTTCCAATGAGACTAAGAAAATCAATTTTGGGTACCGCTTTTCCTTTCCTTTTCCTTTTACAAAAGCTTCTAATAACATTGAAACTAGCCCAAGCTTCAGTATTACGTCCAAGTGGGTGTCTAATTTTTGATGTGTCCTTATGAGAAAGAATATACAAAGATTCCGTTTGCCATCGAAACTTCAAAAAAGGTATATTAAGATTTTGGATAGCACCTGGGTGGTTCTGTTTTAACTGTGATTTTTTCTGTCTTGCATTGTTTGTTCTCACCAGTGATTAATAACCTAATAATGAAATTTTTGTAATGATTGGACGATCGTGAATATTTTTTATATAATATAACTTTTCATTCAGAGAGAACCTACAATATATCAGCTAAATGTCAGTACCATGTCATCTATAAATTCCTTTTTTTTTTTCATAATAAATGATTTGAACTAATTTGAATGATTTGAATAAATTCGTTTTTCTATAATCAAACTAAGAAAAAATGGACCGGTTTTGGGTTAACGTTTTCAGTTGGTATGACGGAGCGCCATCCACCTTGGGATTTATGAAATGTCTTCTGAGATACGAAAATTTTCGATTTTTGAAATTTCCAAATTATTCCGGGATATGAAAGGTATTTTGCTTTTGATCATTTTAATGCAAAAGGAATAAAATGGCGCATTTAAAATTTGAATTCGAAGTTTTGCTTTTTCAGGTATGTGGGAAAAATCTTAAATATGTTTTTGGATCATCTATATCCGTTTTAGCTGTTTTTAATTGTGCAATTTAAATTGTATTTTCGCGATGTTTTAACCTCACTCTATCTTGGTAGCCCAACTCTTTTCAGTCAAATTTGGTCTACCCCTGGGTAGTCTTTGGCGGCACGTTTGTCGACGAAAAAGGTTGACGGTATCTCCGAATCAAAAGCGTTCATTTCTTTGGCTCAGAAATTTCACATGCCAATATTAAGGGTCTTTTAAACAGCCCGATATCGTTACTATATCGAATTACGCAAAGAGGGACCGGCTTTTGGAGGCGGAACAATAAAAGAAGAGGATATCCGCCGATAATGAACCATGAAAAAACTTTTTTTTTGCGAATAAAGGTTTGTTCTTACGCCTTTCCAATTTTTTAGCGTTCGTTTTCTTTCGCAGATTACCAACGGAGGCCTAATAATTACACTCGGAACTTTATCATTGTAATTCCCACCCAATTTGTAACTTGATCGACGGAAATATAATGGCCACCGTGTATCACACCTCGTTCCGTGCGAGGCAATTTTGGCAGGTGTGAAGTTTGGAAAAGTTTTTAAAACCGCCGACTTCAATAATAAGAATTCGTAGGTTAATAACAACAATTGTCTTATTATTCATTTACTTTAGCATGTTTTGTTTTATTATTAAGTACCTAAAATTCAAAAATAATGTCATAAGAATAAATTTTATAAATTGATTTTATGCACCTTGCTGAACTGTTATTTTAGTCCTTTTCTAATTTGTGGGAATACCAACCTTTTGACTTACTATAGCGGGGCCGTTAGCAAGTTAAATGAGAAAAAAGAAAAGCTAAATCGACAGCGAACTCGACAAAATGTGTATATTAACTTAAGTGAAAAAAGTTAGAGAAGATTAATACAAAAAATCCTGTACAGCACCACAGAAAATTAAATTAAAGAAAGTATTAAAAACATTCACAAAAGTCACCCACCAGATTCGTTGGAATTGAATAAATTATAAAATGTAAAAAAAGTTTAAAAAAATATTATATAAGTGGGAAATTTAAACTTTAATTGCTTTGCAATTGATTTTGTAAAATTGTAGCGCAATAACTGTTTCCGATATGTTAAAGAGACGGAGAACAATAAATTCTTGATGCAAGAAAAATTGCATTCAAAATTGCACCGTCTAAAACTGCCTTAAATTCGTGCAATAATCAAATTAAATAATTAATATTTCCTAACAGAATTTACATTTAATTTAATTAAAGTGTCCGTGTCTGTCTATGGTAATTTTCAGTAAAGGCGAATGCGCCAGACCAACATTATTTTCAAAATTTAAATTTTTGGGAGAATACTTTTGTAGACCTATTATTAAATTGATGCTAAGTGCAACATATCTGGATTGCAACCTCTATATGGTACATTTTTCAGGCGAATTCTGAACTTTTGTCCTATTTCAAACCTGGAGAAGCATAAAAACATTGAAATTTGGTATGAAATGATTGAAATTGGCAAATCAAGTGTGGCCGTTGAAAATTGTTTATATTATTGTCAAATGCCAAGCAAGATCATTTCGACTGATCAGGCGTTTAATAAATGCTGGATGCGCAAGGTTTTTAAATTCCGTTCAACTAAGATGTTATAGATTACAGTCAAAAGCTTTAGTTTCCGAATTGTATACTTAATTTATTCTAGGCAAATCAGTTTATAAAAATCTACTCTGGTTGTTTATCTGAAAACAAAGAGCAAAAACTAAGCAGAGCTTACCAAACCTGTCATCATATTTATTTTTCGCGTTTCACTCAGGTCATACGGTTTGGTCAGTTTGGCCAACAATTCCTGACAATTTCTTTGGCTCAGCGATCCTTATAATGAAGCAATGCGTTAGATATTTTTTTTATAAACAATGTAGATACCGAATTTCGAAAATACCTTTAATAATTAAGTGCTAATGGGATTTACAAATTAAAGTCCATATCAAAAATATTTAAGCTAATTATTATGTGGTCGCGCAGTGGCTTTTGTTAATTGCTTAAGTCAACGTTTTTTTATGGACATCAGTATAAAGATGTTTCGAAGAAAAACATATATGATGGTAGGTTTTAAAATGTTAAAATGTAACAAAATAAATAAGATCTAAAAGTTCAGATTTTCACGAAATTATGCATTTTCACATGACAATTGTTTCGACAACACCATGTCTTTTTCAAATGTATAGATTTGATAAAGACACGGTGTTGTCGAAACAATTGTCATGTGAAAATAATTTCGTGAAAATCTGAACTTTTAGTTTATATTTATTTTGTTAAATGGATTTTCATCAAGTAAAAGCCACCTTAGTTCAATTGTTAAAATGTAACTTATGGTACAACCTCATTGCATATATCTTAAAAAAAAAACTTGCACGAATGCAGTGGGCTACAACCGCCTTCTGGGGCAAGGTCCACTACACTCTTCGCAACAAGTTTGTGCGCCGTTAAAATTCTTTTTTACGATCTCGATATATTTTACAAAATTTTCTCTCGCAAACCTTGAAAAAAATATATATAAAAATTCAGGGAATCGCATAAGCGAAATAAAACTCGAGTTTTACGCCCGTTTAATTATAAATGAAAATGCGTTTCTACGAGTGAGAACGCACGAGTCACCATAAATTAATCATAAATAAATTAAGTCTGGTTTTGGTGCGCGAGCACAACGAATCCAACCGACAATTTTTCCATCCGCGCCAGGTAGTTGCGTTAATTTGTTTTAATTCATCAACAATAGCATTTAGATTAAGTAAATACATAACAAAATATATAGGGCAATACGGGCTCAATGTCAAGTTTGTTGTTTATCGTGTTATGCACAGCAGAAAAATGTTACCATTGACTTAATATATTTTTCTGATACTTTAGAGTCTTTATTTTAATATAAAGTTGATTAAAATCAGATGAAAATTCGTGTAAATAAACAAGCCACTTCTAAATAATTCCAACCTTTATGGTGCAACAATTAGGTCAAGATCGGTTTTTATTTACTTTTGGACTTCTTAAAAGCCTTTGTTGTAGAAATCGTTACAGCAGCTGGAAACCCAAAGAATAGCTAGCAAGCCTAAATCATTATGTAGCCACTCTCAAAATCACATTTTAATACAACCATAAAAATACACAAAAGCACTTAATTCGGAAGTTAAATTTCCATTTTAAAAGCATTATTAATTAGATGGCCAATATGACAGCTTTGCTCCTACGATAAGTCCAGCATATGCGATTTGATCTTTGATATTTCCAACATTTTGACAGGAATTTCGGGCTTTTATCAACTAACGATTTTGTGGTTCTCACGAGTGAGTTGTAATTAAACTTTAACTGTACTAATTAAACTAAAGATTATGATTTTCATGATTATATATATATATATATATATATATATATATATATATATATATATATATATATATATATATATATATATATATATATATATATATATGATGACACTATATTCCGGGATATCATCCGTTCGCTCGTTGAACTCCGACTGGAATCCTGCATCCGATTGGAATCCTGCAGACGTTTCGCCAAAATCTCACGCGCGAGCATTGAAGATGCCAAGTGAGATATATATATATATATATATATATATATATATATATATATATATATATATATATATATATATTGATAGATATATATTTTTCTACTCCCGTTTGTAAAATACCTAATTAAGCACCAATCTAGTGTGCGGGAAGCGTCACTTTATCCGGTCGTAGAAGAAGTATAGTATGCAACACGTTCGGTAAACTTTTTTAACTCACTCGCTCCGCTCGTGTCAAATAAACTCGTGAGTCAAATGCCGTTCACCGCACTTGTTGCATAATATACTATTAATGTGCGTATGGTAACAAATACATACAAACATTTCATCACTAATCAAGTCAGGAGACGAGTGGATGTTTTGCTCACGAGAGCTGTTTTTTGGCATTTTATGAATTGGGTTACCTTTATAGGTACTCCAATGCTTTAACACGAATCCAATGAAAAATTTAATAAAATTTTGTGTGAGTAAACGTAGGATGAAATATAGAATTTTTATATTAAAGACGATACATATGCGTTGGTGAACACGAAGTGGCAAAAAGAAAATGTTATATTATGCTATATTTAAATCTAAATAGTTAATGTTGTTCAAATGCTTTTTTACTTACACCACATCATTATTTAGATCTGGCATCAATATTTAGAATATTTTACGCTGCTAAGAAGCGGCACTATGTCCTTACGGAGACTGGAGATCTTCACAGAATTTCAGTAAATGGGTTAAAATGTTTTCATTATTGTAATAAATTTTAATCAATTTAATTAAACGACTTCCTGGACCAAATTTCTCGACATTTCATAGCGTATAAATAATAAAGTTAGACATACCTACAAAAGGACAATTTTTAAGTACTTGTGATTTTTTTTTCTGGATTTTTCAAGTTACATTTATCCAATGCGAGGTTCAGTAACACGCAATCTGCAAAAGCGGCTTGAAATTACTATGGCTCATTAAGGACAAACAAGGATCGCGGACGTTGATGAAACAACAGGATGGGACGAGACTTTGATGCGTTAATTTGCCACGTGTCGCCAATGTTGTATGTCTTTTGTAGGATGTCATAGCACAGAAAACTGTTCCTTTTATGCGTTTTCCAAATTATAATTTTATTAACTACCGTGGTTATCTTGGCTACAAACCCACAATATATAATATTAAAATTAAAAAAAAAAGAAAAATGTTCTTTTCGCATCATAAGTTCGACAGAAATGTTAGTAGATCTTCAGTTAAAAAAAAAATCAAAATTATTTAAGACTTTTAAAAACATCCAAAAGGGTCACTGTCTATAATAAATAAAAATAGATTAGCTCTCTTAAAAATGGTGACCATTCTGTTGCTTAGAAGAGACTTGTAACTTAATAAGCAATAAGAAACTAAAAATAAAACTTTAACGCTTCCTAACTCTCCTTTGTATCTTGCTTTGTTATTGTAGAAGAAAAAAAGTATAATAGCTTCAGTACCACGCGCGGAAGAAAAATTGAAAGATGAGCAAAATAAATCTTGTTTCCTTTGGTCGTTGCTAGACTGATTATATTGCGTTTAGCTGTTATGTTTCACTAGTAATTATTTATTGTTAGTTAACATCACTGGGTTGTAAAATATGGTTTTCAAATAAATGTTTTGCATTATTGGAAACTGAAAAAATAAAACTTTTCCATTCTGTGCAAAAAATAATAAACACAAGGTGTCACAAAAATAAAGATACAAAGAAAAGTCAAATTGCGTACAATTTTCATTTTGAGTTACTTAATCTAGAAAAAACCAATATTTAAAAAGTCAGCTGCGTACATTTTTCTTGTAATAATATTTATGAGGAGGCCCTTGGAACGCCAATTTACTAATCTACTTGCGGTTATAAGAGATTTACTTATTACCACCATAACATTGCGGAACTTTCAATAATTCTATAAAAATTGTTAATAATATTACTAAAAAGCCTAGTCAAAACATCAAAATTACTATACTGGAAAACCAGACACTTTAGTTCACATGTTAATCTAAACTTTTCTGCTTAATTGATTCGGGAACACGGCCTTAAAGTTTAGTAGATACCTTCACAGAAAATACGACTAGACAGTACATAGTGTTTTTTTTTTTATTAATTGCCGTTGTTCAATTATGCGGGCGATCGCGGAATATTATATTGATCTCATATGCAAAAGTGCTACACAAAAATAATTTCCAAGCCCAGAAAGCTGCCCATAAACTAATGCATTTTGAACTAATTTTAGTTTGGTCCAAGTAAACAACAGAAAAGTAGCAACATTTATACATCTAGTAACGATTTTTGATCACAAAAAGTTTTGCCTGCTATTGTAAAATGCTGTTTTCCAATATCTTTAATTTTAATAACTTTTTTTGTTTTTTTTATGATCACTCGCCTTAACTTACGATTAAGAATAAACTTTTTCCAGAATATGCTTTACTAAAAGAGACACTACAACAGGGCGGCCAGTTTCAAGATTATTGAACTTGACGAATAGCAAAAAAATGCGCCTGCAGATATTTTAATAGTTGAACGGCTTCTTTTATTCGGAATGGTACCGTTAGCGCTTAATCCCCAACAAAACAAATCATAGCGTGGAACCCATCAGACCTCGAATCAAACATCGTAACGATGTCGATTTTTGAGAACCAGTAGTAGAAGTCAAGATTGTACCTGCGGCGACAACAATTGGTGATAACTCAAATCGTACTGCAGGATAAAACGACAAAGTCGCTTTTTATCGCGTTCAGTGTAGTGCAGATCGTCGCCTACGACGTTGTTTCGAACCTGAAGAAATGACCGCGCGAAATTCGGTGGATAATAATTCCTTGGACACCATATTGGTCAGGTTGGGTGATTTTGGCAGGTATCAAATAGGCGTCTTCGCTTTGGTATGTTTCGCCGTGGTTCTGCATTCGGCTGTGCACGTTGCCTTCGTGTTTACTGCTATGGATTTGGATTACCGGTGAGTTGAATCGGAGCATAGAGCAGCTAGTGAGAATAGAACCAGGGGTTGGGGAATGTAGTCAGTTATTTTGTAATCAATTGTAAAATCAAGCGTAGTGATTTTTTTAATCTGAAACTGCGAAAAACAAAAAACAAATAAGAAAACAATTAAATAATGGTCTATCGGAAGAGTTTAGTTAATTTTTAATGTCATATTTATATTTTAATGCTAATTTACGTTTCTTTTCATTCGCAATTGCCGAAACTCTAAAAAAATGCATCAAGGAATTGAAATTCTATAAGTAGTTTTCACCATTCTTCAAGGTAAATTTAGTGTTTTATACAACAAACCTTAACAATAATTAAACCGTTTTTAATCATTTAATGAGGTATACTTTAAAAAAAAAGAGGTACGTGAATTGTGGAACAAATAATTTGCAATTATCAAAAAATTAAATCTGCATATGAATTTAATTACAAGCCTAAGTAATGTTTCTATTATATATTGGGTGGGAGGGTTAATTAGAGAATTTTTTTTCGTAGAATTTCATACGAAGTTTAGAATAAATCTTTTTTAAAAGAAAAAATATTGGGAATTAGAATTAGATTCGAGCTTTTTTCAGCGTAAATTTTCACGTAAGTCTTTTTCATTTAATGGAGGTGGGCAGAAGTGTATTGGCAGATATACGCCATGTTAAAATTAAAAAAATAAATAAACAATATATTTATGACTTTGCGTGATAGTGTTAAATAATTAGAAATTAAACAACATTTTTCAATCGCCCACTCGGTGGAGCTTCTGTGAAAGAAACGAAAATTAAAGTTTTTTGTTTTACAACGCAATCGTGTGCAATGGACATCCATTTTTAAACGTTTACGGTTATTGTTTAATATGTACGTTTTAAGTGACAATAAATAATATTTATAAAATAACACGACGTTTAAATCGCTGAAGCGGAAAAATAGTTTGCTATAACAGCGTTGCGGCATTACGTTTTTAAATGTGCTATTTTAGTAATAGTTCATTGTTCTACTCGAAATTCCTCTGATAATTCAAGTACCTACATAACGAAAAATAGTGCATAAGAACTCGTTTTATACACTGGATGTATACAGTCCAACATTTTTTTTTAAAGGAAAGGGGTTGTAATTAGGCTTATTCGAAAGGTATACATATATTCTATCAAAATGTGTTCCCAATGTAATATAATAATAATGATAATAATAATAATAAGTTTATTTATCAATTAGTACAGTCAATAAAGTTATAACAATTAAATTTTAGCGTTATTACTTTAAAAAAATAATAAAATTATATCTAATATCTTTTATAAAACGTAAAATAACGAGAAAGTAAATATCTAATTTTTTTTGTTTGCATTGCCTGCGCAGTTGGTCTCATTATATATTTGGTTTACATATTAATAAAGGTAGGAATATAAATTGTGTTTACTTTAGGTGTGTAAATTCAATGAGAGTAACTTTTGAATAAGACCAATTTGGATAACCATAATTCCACTTAAAAAAAACTCGGAACCATCTAAAATTCTGACTCCAGGATAATCTGAACTAGTAGAATTTCCTTACGACTCCAAAATTGATATCTTAGAAAATAAAGGAAGAAAGGAGTAAACTTACAATAAACGAACATGGGAGAATCCTCGGACGACAACTATTGTAAATCGGAATTAATCAAAGTCAAGTATCCATTTTTAAGCCGATTGTAGAAGGTGGTCCTGTACAGAGTGTGTCAAGGATCTCTGATAACAATTATCTGGTGCATCTAAAGGTTGCAGACGGCGCTCCGCATTGAATAAAATCCCCAAGTGGGACTTCTTCGACTCGTAAGGAATAAAAAGCAATGATTTCGCTTAACGTGCAGGGTTTCGAATAAAAATAAACCGACTAGATCAAGGATTCACGATTATTATAATATTAGAGCTTAATTTCGCATAAATAGCAGCAGAAATCAGTATTTATTTACTTCATAATTGGTACTACGAAAGCGTAATTAATTTTTGAAATTTATTATCGTAACGCCAATGAGTTCTACAAAAATAACCGAACTGGTATAAAAATAATAAAGAAAGGATGAAAAGAATGAAATTAATAATTAAAAATAATAATGTTTTGTAACAAGCAAGGGGAGAGTATTCCACCAAATTCAAAATAAGGCCACCCACATCCGAAGTCTGACGGAGTGTCCAACCATATTACCCGGGTAAAAAATATTCTTTAAAAACTCAAATTAACTAATATGTTGTGGAAACAGCGTTTTTCCAATTACATTTTTTCAAGCAAAACGAAGATTATTACAAAATTGCTTCTTAAATTTAACTGCGATATGTAAAACAATAAAAAATCATTGCATTGTCTAACCAAATTATGTTTATTATTATAGTTATATGGTCGAAGTACCTACTACATCATTGAAAATATCCAGGCGGTAAAATCTTGATGCGCATTGTTTTCGATTTAGTGGAAATTTAACCTACACTTTAACAGTCAGGCATAGGCGTATCCTATCGCAATAATAAAAGTCCTTCATATATTGGTATCCTTATTATTGTTCTTTAGAAAAAATTGTATTTTTAAAGAAAAGTGGTATTTTGATGGCTGAAATAGCTTGTTGCTCAATAAGCGTTTAATTAGGGATAACTCCACTTGTTGCTGAATAGACAATTACTTCGGAGTGGCGCAACGTTAATATGCTATAATTGCAACTCCCTACCCCTCAGTTATCGGCTATTCCGTTCGTAGAATCATAAATAGCGCTTCTGGGAAATTCTAACCGAAGCACTTTATAGCGGAACCAATTTTTTCTTCATCGTTTGTCACGTTCATTGTTAATATACTCTTTCTCCCGGAAATGATAGGTATTCTTTCCATTTTCCAAAGGCGTCCTTCGAGCGTCGCGGTCGCATTTCTTTTTCGATTATTTTTGGTCAAAGAAGCGTAACTTCCTATTTTGTTCAACGAACGAGGTGTTTAGTAAGCAATTGTTATAATTGAATAAAAACCCATAAATATTGCGAGCACGTTTCTACCGACGTAAATACTAACCACAAGTACCGCCTGACAAGTACTTACTGGCACTAAGCGCGTAATAGCCAGGAAATTTTAATGAAAAAAACAGCTCAATTATACCTATTATTTAGGCACAGGGCGTAATTTATTATGTCCCATAGTATGGGACGAAGGCCTTTCCTACCTTACAACAGCATACATTAATGCGACATGACATTTTGGCATAACTTTCAGATGTAAAATACCCAATTGCGATACGGAGAGCTCAGAATATGCTGCGTCGTGGGTGAAAAGCGCAGTACCAATTTCTAACGGACGTTTAGAAAAATGCTCCGTGTACCAGAGCTATGCGAATGAAACTATTTTCGAGGAAAACTGCACCGAGGGTGAGTTCAATACCCAAATCATCGAGAGATGCTCCTCTTTCGTCTACAAAAGCGATGAGAAGACCATCTTGCAAGAGGTAGATTCCTCGTAAACTTCATATATCACACTAACGTTTTCCCTCTATAGTATGATCTGCAGTGTGACAATAACCTGTGGAAATTGACTATGATCGGTACTATAAACAACGTGGGACAGTTCTTCGGTCTTCTCATATCTGGGATACTATCTGACAGGTAATTGTCGATTGAGAGGAAATCTTTTATTTAGAAATTGTTTCGAAGTGTTCGTTATACTTTACAGGTACGGCCGTAGAGTGCTACTGGTCGGTGGGATGGTTCTTTGCGGTGTATGTGGAATAATTCGTACCTTTATGCCCACTTACGAATGGTTTTTGGTACTAGAATTTATGGACGCCTTTTTCGGTGCTGGAAGTTATATTTGCGGATTCGTATTAGGTAAGCAGTTACTATGGCTTAAAGTTAATTAATTACTTTTAGTAGATGCATTAAATCGACACCAACTTGAACTCTGGAAAAGTCTAGTAACCCAATCCAGTTCAAGAGTAATGTCAAAGATTTAATTAAATTGTTGTTGCACATAGGAATTCCACAAACTATTCGCAGATAAACATCTAATACCATCTTTAAATTGTTGTACATATTTTTAGGAGTGGAGCTAGTAGGACCAAAGAAAAGGGTGTTAACCGGTACGCTGGTCAGTTCCTGCTACGCAGTGGGAGAAGTCTTCGCAGCCGTATCCGCTTACCTAGTGAAATCTTGGAAGTGAGTACTGCATATGCGTCCGTCAATTCATCTTCTTAGCTAATAATAATTGTTCAAAACCAAAATATTAATTCCAGACCTCTGATCTATATTCTGTACACTCCTACAATACTTTTGCTGTCTTATTTCTGGCTGGTGCCTGAATCGATCAGGTGGAACTTAAGCAAAGGCCGAATAGAAGAAGCGAAAAAGACGATGATCAAGTTAGCCACCGTTAATGGCAAACAAATAACTGATAAAGAACTAGAAATTCTTGACGCCATTCCAGTATCCGACGCTGAGGTTACGAAATCCGGTAGTCAGTTTGCGGAAGCTATTAGATCTAGTACGTTGATGATACGACTTGTGACGTGTTGCTTCTGTTGGATAACCTGCGCGTTTTTATTTTACGGATTGACCCTTAATTCGGTCGCATTGGCTGGAAACGCGTACGTGGACTTCATTCTAACTTCTTTGGTGGAAATTCCTGCTTACTTTGCGTGTAATTTTATCGTCGAAAGGTACGGACGCAAGAGGTCGCTGTTTCAATGCTATTTGCTAACCGGAATCGCGTGCCTTGCTTTCATTTTCATTCCGGGTAAGACCAACAATATCATTTAGCCCAGTCAGTATGTAATTTTTTTTAGCAGACTCGCGTTGGGGTAGTTTGTGTGTTTATTTAATCGGCAAGTTCGGAGCCACGGCCTCGTTTACAATTTTGTACGTCATCACAAGTGAAATGTTCCCTACGAATCTCAGACACTCGTTTATGGGAACTTGTTCGACTTTAGGAAGGTGCGGATCAATGATATCGCCTCAAACGCCGCTGCTGGTAAATGTTGCCCATCGTAATTTGAGCGGATTGAATAAAGCTGTATTCCTTACTTCCAGGCTCAGATATGGGAACCCCTTCCGTTGGTCAGTTTTGCAGCTATGTCCTCCATAGCTGCGGGATTGGCCCTTACGTTTCCAGAGACTCTTAACAAAAAGCTGCCCGATACAGTCAAAGAAGCCAAGGAAATAGGCAAGGTTGCAGAAATTGAACAGGAAATTTACAAAGCGCAACGGCAGGAGAAGGAAAGATATTGACCTAATCGATCTGTGATATTTTTAGTGTTTAAAGTTACCTAATTTATTGTGTAATTTTTTAAAATAAGTATTCTTGTATTATTATTATCAGACCCGTTGAGTGACCTCAAGATTGTAGCGTCGTTAAGAATGTCATCCTAGAAGTATCCGATGGCAGGCACCTTCCAAAAGCTTCTAGAAGCAAAGGCTCTTCAGTCGTAGTCTGCTGATAATCTGAGAGAGATACCTTCCCATCCTTGTCTTTGTCCATCTTTCGCATCACTATATCTACCAAGTCCTTGACACTTTCTTCTGGATCTTCTTCTTGTGGCAATTTTATGAGGCAATTTCTAGAAATCAGAGAAAACGTTAAAACTCAACTCACCTGTTTGTGTCATATTACTAGTAACCTCAAAAGTTGAAACATTTCATCTTTAGTAATAAATCCATCCCCATTAAGATCATAGACATTGAAACAATATTGGGTCTGTTTGAGCACGTTTCCTTTAAGAAACAATGACATTCCGTGGAACCAACTCTCTAGAGACACCACTCCGCAATTGGAAGTGTCCCAGACGCAGAAAATGCGATCCATCAACATGTTCTCGGTTATAATGTCGAAGGTGCTGTGCAGCACCTCCCTAAAAACAACTCTGTCGATGCCCTATGAACAAAAATGTTTTAGTATCATCGTACTATCGTCAAAGTCCGATCAAACCTCCGATGCCGTCGCGGGATTGACAACCACCAAGGAGGTAGATTTTGGAAGTGCTTTGCTCGTAGACTTGTTGTAAGTAATCAGTTTCTTGTAGATTTTGTAAAGCGCATCGATTTCGTTCCTGTGCGGAAAAAACGATCCTTTTATTTCATATAAAAATCAATAAGCAATTTACTTTTTTGGTTTTTTTTTCGAATATTGGCGTTTGAGTGTTCCAGACCATGCTATAAGTCGATCATTTAAATGCGAATAATATTGCGTGCATAAGAGTTCCTATCGTGAGCTCTTTGTTGAAACGCTGGTGCATATGCAATTTAATTGGTTTAGTCTGGGGATATTGCACTATCAAAACCAAAAATGAAAAATAAAATACTCAGTCTATTTATATTTTATTGCAGTTTTAAAGAAAAATAAATTTTGAATTTATTCGACTGCGATCCATATGAAAAGTTTCAATAACCGGAAAAGTTTAAAAATTCAACTAGGTCTTAGTTGCCGTTAGAATCCATTTTTTTCATCGGTTGTTTATTTGTTTTAATAGCTTTTAATCTTCTCATACAGAAAATAAAAAAAATAATTGCAACAATATACAATATTTTTGGAAATATAGAAACTTCACGCACACACTTAGAGCGAGTTCAAGCTTAAAATACGAAAAATCCTATAAACAACGAACCGAAAACGCCTTAGTAACGACACAGGGTGTGCAAGAAACTTTTTCGTGGAGGAGTCCAGGCTTATAGTGGTCGGTGGTCGTAGCACTCGTGTTCTTAATCTATAATCTAATAATCTATCTGATGCATGCTGGAGCGACAGATACATTTCACTTTCAATGTTCATCTTACTCCCGGAAAGTAAGTTTATTTTGAAATTTCTAAAAAAACGGAATGAAAATTTAACTATGCAGAGATCAAAGGACCTTAGCAATTATACGCTTGTTTCTGTCCTAAATACATTTTCAAAAATAACAAAAAAAAAATTTTAAAAGGGATAGTAATATTTATAGAAAATCAATACAAGTTTGAGCCATATCAATATGATTTTTCAAAGAAACTTCCACAGGCTACTGTAATGTAATTTCGACTAAGCAAAAACCGACGCAGCATGAATCCAGAAGTTTACAATATTCATTGATTTGCAAAAAGCATTCGACTCTGTCGATATTGACATAATGCTTTATAAATTGAAAACATACTCCAAGGGTCGGTCATGGACCTCTCCAGTATCTATTGCGTTTTATATGCAAAATAAATTACAGAGAACCCAAAACAGAACAGTAAAAACCATATTTAAAATAAACCGTTTCACTTCAACGAAAATAATGTATGAAACAACAGAAACATGGGACATAAAAAAATAGTTACTTTTGAACAAGCAAAATATATATATTTCATAAAAAATAAACTGTTAAAAAGTAACTTAGATATAAAGCAAGCAAGCGATACAAATACGTAGTCATAATACTTGTCGTGCAAGTGACTTTAGAACTAAATTTTCAAAACCTCTTAAAGTACAAAGATTTCCATTACATACATGGCTGTATTGAGACATATAATTCTATACCAAAAGTTATTGGTGAAGCAAAAACAATAAAACAATTTTGTCAGAAATTAAAAGTACATTTGCAGTGACTATTTACACTTTCCATTTAAACTTAAAAAGACGTACATAAAATACCAAGCTTATTATATAATTGTTTTATTTTGATTGTAACTTAAGGCTCCTGTGCCAAGTTATAACACTGTTTTGGAGTCAGTTATAAATAAATAAATAAATGAAAATGGTGTAGGTCCTTCAAAAATGTGGTTTCTTGTAGAAACGGTCAAATTATATAAACAAAACGTTCAAATTTAGGTATTGCAAAACATTGTTAATTAAAATATAAGGTTTTTGATACGTAAACAGTGTACGAAATTAAAGCTGATTATTTTGCCGGAACAAAAGTTGAAAAAAGCAAAAGTTGAGGTCTACGCCCTGAGGTGGCCAAATCCTATTTGTACAACCATGGCTATTGTTGGTCGTGAACTACTATTAAATTTAGGTTAGTTCAAATTGAGTCACTATAACTGTGTAGTGAGTAATGAATAAAAGGTTGTCTAAAAATGTAAAATAAGTGCATAATTTAATGATCGAAGAAAAAAGATGTTGCATTTTGCAGTTTTTAACTACGACCTTGCTTATAGAAATTGCTTACTTGGAGAACGACGTGTCCCTTTTCACCCCTTCTAGAATGTTGGCCGGACATTTACAGAGGTCCTTCTCGCTCATCTTCTTCCTTCTTCTGCTAACTGAGTTCGATTTGGCGCTGCTACTTCCTTGGTTCGCAGCCTGTCTGTGACTTCTCGCGCCTCGAATAAACCGAGTGACTCCCCGCAAAACCACTGCCCCCCCGCGCATAGTCAAACGTGGGGCGGCTGCGGTGGCCGAAGTATTCAACTGTATCTCCGTCGACATTTCGGCATTTGTCGGTACCTTTGATCGTGAACGATATGTAAAACCTCATAGGCTAACAAGAAATAGAAACGGAAGCAAAGGAAACCGAGGTGCTCAGTGAAGGAATTATAATAAAGCCACCCCTGTCTTTTTTTCTTTATCACATTCGTCGCGTGCAACTCTAACCGTTTTTGCATACTTTCTCTAAAAATTATTGCCGCCCCGTGCTCATAAAATCGAGTCAGTAAAATGGTGCATCGAACATAAATCTCGGGTAAATGTAAGACCGCAGTGCCTCCTCGGCGACAATTTAATTTGTCTACAAATTTGAAGAATTCGTGCACACATATACGGCTCTAACCTGAAAGGAGCCTCTGTTTCGAGCACGCCATATCTCGACACGCGAGCCACAGATAATCCAATCAGCAATCAGGCAACAGTCGGTGAGGGAACCAAAACTACTATAAATGAAAGCGTGCGACGACGTTAAAAGCAAAAATCGCTACCAAACGCATTTACCTGTGTCGGAGGGGCCACCTTTCAGAAGCTCACTTGCATTGTATCGAACAAAACAGTTGAACCGTTGCTAGGCATTGTACAACCGCCTTGTACGGTGTCCATTTTTTTAACGGATTCCCCCACAATGAATGTGTAGGCTCTATTATCGTATTGCGTGGATCTGCAGCTTGTCTAATTCGTTAACGGAACAACAAGATCATACAGTTTTTGAAATCACAACTTACCGTGAGTCTATGAACTTAACATAATGAGTAAACCATTCGGGGGCAAAATAAAAGTGAAAAATCAGCAAAGAAGAAATCAGACCAGCTTCTAATCGCAGCATTATCTGTTTGTGGTTTTAAATCATTTGATAGAGGGGAAAATAGCAAAATACAAAGAGAATATCAAAAAACAAATAACATCTCTTGTTTTTAAATCCGAAAAGAAAAGTGTGGAAATACTCAGAGGTCGATATTTTTTGTTAACCCGTCTCCGAGGCGCCACTGGATGCAATAATTTTAATCTAGTTAAGCGGAAACGGCCCCTTACCAATATAGATGACGCTGCAGAATTTTAACGAAATTAAATAAAATATAGGTATAGATATAGGAAGTTATTAATAAAAATTCGATCAAAAAATTAAAACGCATACAGCAACTCTTAGAGGTGACATATGTTACTGATTTTTAATCAGTTAAATTATTACACTCTACTTATTTTCCGCATAGTGTTTTTTTCTAATTTCATCTTATTTAACTTGTCACCTCTAAAAGACAAAATATATTGCCTCGTTAAAAGAATAAAAGTGCTCGACTAGACGAATTGAACCAGCTTATTTGTCAAGTAAATATAACAAGTTTGTTAAAAAAGAATTTTGGTTGCTGCCTGATAATGTTATTGATATTTTAGAAAATAGAATATTATGCTGCTAGATATTTTTTGAAGTACATTCTCCTCGTCGGAATGTTTATTTGTAGCATTTATATTTTCATGTTTCTCAAATTTCCAAAAAGTTCATCGTAAGTAAGCCCCTACATATATATTTAAGACAATTCAAAGAACTTACCACTTACACTAATATAAATATTTTTCGCCTTCTGTTCTTCAATTCGTAAATAGTTTTTACAAAAAAATTGCATACTAATATAAAAAAATATTACTAATTAAGGTTGGCCACTAAAATTTATATTACAATTATTGGGTTTCAAAATTGAAATTTTAGTGGGAAACCGGATGATCATAATTAATTTTGTGGAGGAAGACTCAAATGACAAAAACACGAAGGTTTTTGACAAAACTACCAGGAAAGGGAGTAATGTGAAAATAAAAACAAACAAGTTGAACTATACATTGATTTTTGGTTTTGTTGTTGTGACCATTGTTGTAATTATTAACAATTTCGATTATTTGCATCAGCATAAAAAATTCATTCACTAGTATATTAAAAACTACATAAATTAATAAATAGATATATCGTTTTACAGATCTAGATAGGTTGAAACAATCCAAACACCAAATTTTAATGAAATTGAATAATATATATAGATAGACATTTATGTTATTAAATAAAAATTCGTTGGTTAAAATTGTAAAGCAATATCATCTTTCCTGACTTTAAATATAACATAGTCTTAATTTTTTGCCATCAATTAAATTATATTAAACTCTACCCTATTCTCTCTCATTGATTGTTGTTTTTTCTATTTCATATACTTATTTAATCCCCTTTTTCATCTCCAAAAAACAAATAGATTGTCACGTTTAAAAACAAGGAAGTGCTTGATTTGAAAATACCAATCTGAGCAATTAAAGCAGGTTATTAGTCAAATTTTTGTTCTTAAACTCCCACAAGTTAAATTTTGAATAAGTAATTTGACTTTATCGGATTTTTGTTTTTTCCTAACCCGTTTCGTCCTAGTTGGATAAGAGCCATTTCAAAAGATATAGAATAAAATAAATACCTACATGTGTAAAAATAATTATTGTAATGTGTAGAACTACAAAAAAAATTAAAATAATATACGTTTTTATTTTTATGGGATGCCGCCTCATGACGAAAAAGACCTCTAATATTTATTTTGGTTTATGAACAATAAAAAAATATGGTGTTATTTTCGTAATAACCAACACTTTTTCTTAAATCTCAGAATTTCACTGCTTCATGTAAAGGCTGATAAATACTGCACACAAAGGTGAGCTTTTGCTGTATCACCGCAGATCAACAATAGATTGATTTTAGTTAATTTTCTATTTACTCTCCATCACTTATTTATAAGTTCGAAATAAAGATTTTAAGATCGCGGATACAAATAATACGAACTGATGCAAGAAATTTAGTAAACCAAAGAACGAATCCCCCCTCCTTTTCCACGAAATTGATGGCTAATTAAGTTTTCAACAGAAATTGACAGGGTTTCCGTTAAAACTTAGAATCAAAATGAAGGTGTTTTTAAATTAAAAGATTTAGTGGACTATCGCAGTTGTATATTATCGAAACATGTTGATTTAGAGGTTTGCTTTTGAAAACATTAATAATAATTTTTGCGAAATAAGACCCCCCGTTTTCTTTGATTGACTGGCCAAAAATTTTTGTGTCTCACCAGCGGCAGTAGAAATCTAAAAATGAAAACAAACTATTTGACTTAAGACTTGATTTTTAATTTAGCGGTTGTGGATATATAATTTCGTTCAGTTGAACGTTTCCATAGGTTTCTAAAAAAAGAACAGGGTCAAATAAACCATTTCTAACACCATAAAAAAATCGTTTATTGACATCTAAAATTCATAAATACCACTTACATATTAAATATATATATATATATATATATATATATATATATATATATATATATATATATATATATGTATGCCGATCAATAAAAGATTCTTCGAAGTAACTTGCACATTTCGTCCCTGTATACATTCTTAAGCATGCAACCTTAATATGTCAGAAAGTTCCCGAAGAGCGCCTTTCTTCCATAATTACAAGATTTTTCAGTCGATCGGGAAAACGAAACTTTTAGAGTATTCGAGTTCGTTAATATCACCAAAAGATTGTTCGTCTAAGTTGAATACAAAAATATTTACCAATTATACTATGGCAATTCTTTTTAAGTACAATAACAAAACAACGATAATATCAAAAACATAATGACATCAGCTTGGCGGATCCTCAAAATTCTCTTTGATCTCGTTATCGTCTTCGTCGATCTCAACAGAGGTAAAATCTTGCATTTGCCGATCAGGTATCGCCAAACTTTCCAAGTCTACCGGCTCCAAACGCTTCCTAAAGCAAAGGAGCCACACCAAACTGACCGCCATCATCACTGTGGTAAACCCAAACGTCCAAATCGTGCCGTACTCTTCATAAACGTAAGTGATAAAGACCGGACCCATTACTCTTGAAAGACACCCTGAACCCGTCATAAGTCCCATCCAAACGCCCTGAGGTCTGGCCCCTAGTAACTTTGAGAATAATGTCTGTATGAGAGTTACCCCAACAGGATACCCGAATACAGTGAAAATAAATCCGAATATGAACTGAACCAAATTAATCGCGGGTATATAGCTACACCATTCTTGACTTGAAGGACACCCTACCAATTCTTCGCCACAATTTAGGGTCATGTACCTGATATAACTTCGATTCGTCGCTTCTAAATCCAACCAGCGTCCGTGTTCCCTAAGAGACTGATTTAAAATTTCATAATCGAGAAAAGGGGCGGAAACATTCTTCAACTTATCATGGCAAAATACAGTTAGGTTGACTTTAAAGTCTGAATCGTACGTTAGCGGTAGATCTCCTCCAAATGGTATGCACAGCACCCGTCCGATCACCATAAACAGAAAACCACCCCAAATCGTAATTTTAACTTCAGAAAACTTTTTAGATAGGGCACCTATAGAAGCGAATGTTGCGATGGAAGCGATAGCACCAATAGACATCAGTATGCCCATGTAATACAAAGACTCGCTTTTGGACCAAGCAAACTGATCCATCGTGACAGGGGTGGCCAGCGTTTCTAACAACATGAAATTGAAAACCAATACGAAAAATGCCACAATTAAGCTCCACGCGGCAAAATAATCCGGATTATTGTTTTTCCAGATGTCCTTCTCATTGGTTTTGCCTTGCTTGACCATAGCCTCTTTGGCTGCGACTTTGTATTCTTTAAAATATTTCGGTAAGAAGAGGAAGATGTTAATTAAAGATAACGCGGCGTTAATCCAACCGGAGGCAGTATACATGTTCAATTTAAGTCTGTTGGGGATGATCCATAATCCGTCGTCGCCTAAAGGGACCACGGCGGCCTGGATTGCCGGGCCTATAACGAATCCGAGCACTTGAGCTAAGGAAATCATGGATACCGCTTTGGTCCGTTCGGAATATCTGGTAGCTGCGGAGAGGTAGGATCTGCAGGCAGCGACATTAGCTATAAGATTAGAAGATTAAACCAAATACAATAACCGCTCCAATACAATTACCAGAACTTACACCGACGAGAAATCGCGACCACAGCATCCAGTGTTTCCTATTCGTTTCGAACAGTTCCAAGGAGGAATACAGACCGCTGGCTAAAGTAAATATCACCAGGGAAACAATTACCGGTATTCTTATAGAACCCGCTTTATTGGTCCACCATCCGACCAAAGGCGAAAACAACATCTGAGCGAAAGGGTTGGCCGCCACCACGAACCCCATGTACTCCTTTCCAGCGGTTGGGTCCAGCTAAAAATGAGAGTTACCAACGAAAAGAGACTGGGAAGTCATCTTACTTACTTTGTCTAAATACGGCCAGACCCCAGTAACTATAATGCTGAAGCCTAATGATATCATAAACATTGTGAAATAAATGATGTATATCGAGATCCATCTTTCTTTGTACTCTTCGGGCGTTTCTAAGTTATCTTTGGTCTTCGGTGAGCGGGAGTCCTTTATTAGGAGTCGAACTTTTTCGTACCATGCCATAACGTAATTCCTGGAAAATTGCACTAATAAATATACGAAAATTGCAAATTGTATTCTACAAATTTACAAATGTTTCACTCGCAGAAAAACCAAATAACAAAGTATTGTATTAGTGGGTCGATATTAACCGTCATTTTCAATTTTTAGAAATCATTTCTTCCGAAGAAGAATTTCGAAGACATAAAGAGATATTCCAAAGAACTATATATTAAAATACACAAATTTTAAGTTTGCAATAAACACTCTCCCTATGAGATTCACAAAAAACAAATTTTATGTTTGCGCAGAATATTTACCAGCACACATCGTTCAGCAAAGTTCAACTCTTACATTAAACACTATATTTTAAAGTAGCCTTGCGATCACTAATATCATGTTCATTGATCATAAAAAAATTGGCTGTCAAGATATACAGGTGGTCAAAAATTCGTGTGTAGGATATATATTGGAAACTAACCAAAACTAAGCATCATCCTATTTCAGTAGTTTTATAAACCTTGATAAAATAGTATCAATGTAACCTGTCGAGTTCCCTACCACAAGTGGAAAAACGAATCGATTGATACAGCATTTGAAAGTCGTCGGCAAAAATGATTTTGTGGAATATTGCAATTGTTTAAGAAAAAATTGACAAAAACTTTTTCATTTTTAATTTCGTTCGAGGTCCTAATTATAATGAAGAAACAAGAGCCTTTATAATTGTATATATTATTAGCATAATAAAAAACCATATGGAGATTTTCACCGCTCAAAGGAATATTATATTTTACAATATATGTCTGAATTCTGATCAGGAACTATGATATGCTCAGCTCGCCTTGTCGACCATCACTTGCAGTCACGCAATCGAACAAGTAATTACGTAAAGCTGTAACACTATCTTCCCTATAAGATGTTGTTTTGTTAACCACACGTCTCGGTTCGTTGATTCGTTTAACATGGTAGCTTTGAAGGAACGATTTTGTACTTGAAATTTTTGTTATAACATGTGTATGTACTCACCATATTGCAATTTTTTTCTCCCACATCTCATGCCGTATAATGGACTAAAGTTTCGTAAATTGTATAAGTCATATTAAGCACTCCAAACAATTTATACAAAACGATTCTGATTGTTTCAGAAAATGATAAATATTTGGCTACGTCTACAATCTGCTTTCTCAAGAAATGTGTTTATTTAAATGAGATTACTTCAAAAATTCCTATAATAGTTTTTACCTAATTTTCCTTTTATTATCTAGTTTTGGTTAGCTTTCTGATTTGATGCGATTAAAAATGAAACTAAATGTATTGTTTCCTTGACATAACTATTTTTAAGGAACAGCTTTCTTCAAGTTGACTGTTGTTTTTCCTGGAAAAGTTAATACGAAATACGAAATCAAAATAAATAACCGCCTAATTTAAATTTGATTTTACACCCGTTTCATAATGCTAATGAATTAACGTTGAACATTGATATACAGTTGTCTTTTTTAACCTTGACATTTTTCATGAAATTTTATCAAGCGTGGTTATTTTTAAGCGTAACTGCGTAGTTTTTACCAACGCTGGCAGAAGTCCCGAAATAAAAAATTTAATAAAAAATTGTCGTCGCTTTTATACGGTTTTATTATCAATAAACAGTTGATTTTGATTCATGTTTTAAATATTCCAATTTCTAACAGCATAAGCAAAGCTACGACGATTTTTGGAAAATCTAATTTTTGAAAAACATTTTCAAATAACTTACTGAAAAAAAAAAGCTTTTTAAATGTATTTTCTTATTTTAACCGCCTACTCTTCAAAGAGCATCCTAAGAATAACAGAATTAATAAAGTAGTTCATACTATCTCTCAGTGAAAGCGATTGTCGATCGGACGAAATATTAGAAAAATATTTAAATATGTCTGAACAGTGGAAGAAGACTGCTGCAATCTTTTCATTATGCGCTATACTAGTGATAGTCAGTCAACGTTTGTGATCTAACAAAAATGATTTTTCATATAAGTTTTTGCAGATGTTTCAAATTTTTTGCGTTTTTAATTATTAGAGACTATTTAATGGACTTCGTCATTATTTATTAGCAGTAACTATTCAATTAGTACCTTATCAGAATTCGAATTAGAAATTAAACATTGGGTTAGAGTATTTTATTGAAAACGAAAATATAGCCTAAAATCTTGAAATGTGGGATACACTAATATTCAAACACGGTTAATATTTATAGGTTATATTTTGATTTTCAATAAAATAACTTATTATTTCATTTCCAATTCTAAAACTTACAAAAACAACTGAAACAGCCCTATCAACTGAATAGTAAATCGGTTTGCTCTATACCAAACTTCGCCAAAAAAATGGCCGTGCTACGTCACAGTAAGACAGCGTATATGTACCGGGTCGCTAAGTATGGATTTTAACGATGGATTATTTCCTAGACTAAAAAAACTTTTAACATAAAGAATTGACGCCATGACTAATAAATTTTCTTGATTCCCAGTATGTAGATGTTACTTAGAATTTTGTGTGGTATCAGAATTTGTATTGAAATTCTACGGCTGCAAGGAAATTTCCGGAATTTTACGGCACAAGTGGCTGCAATCGGAAATATTACTCCCGGCTTAAATTTTGGCGGCAAATGGCATTTGAGTCACGAATTTATTTGGCACGAGCAGAGCGAGTGTTTAACAATCCAGTGACTTAAAAAGTTTACCAAACGTGTTGCATAGCATACTTTTTCTATGATCGTTAGTTTTTGAGTACATTTTTACAAAACAACACGAATACATCCATCTATATGACCGTCAGAATTGACAAACGTCAAAATTCAAGCCGTGCGGTAAAGTCTCGGAAAACAAACGCGTGCGGGAAAATCCAATTGTCCGAAGAGGCTCGGATCCATGGGACATGAAGATCACGTGGCAAAGTGACGCTTCCCGTACGCTAAAACGGTGTATAATTAGGTATTTTACAGAAAGGAGTAGAAAAATATATTTGTATTGTTTTCCAAAAATGTATCGCTTACCACACTTGTTACTATTAAATTACTTAACTTACTTAACTTACTTATTACTATTAAATTGACTTCTCAAATAGCCCTTGAGCTATGGAACAATAGAAATAAGGAAGAATTATAGAAGAATAATATTCCAGTACTTAAAAATTTAACTTCCGTCTGCAACTACCTTTCCAGACCTAACAGAAGTAATACTTTTTGTTTAATTTAAAACCCGTGACTAAAATGACTTTTGTCAAAATTGTTGCCTACAATATTAACTCGTTATTCCAAGGTTAGTATTTAATTAATAAAAGATAATTTTTGTTTTATTATACTCATACTTTTTGTATACTAGTGGCTAGAAAATAAAATCGCCAACAGACAACACATTTTAAACTACCGCAATATGGTTCGCGCTTAACTTTGTAATTTTCTGTGAAATAGCACAATATTGTTCATGCTTGTCTTAAATTTTAATTTTGAAATCGTGTTGGAGGTCCTCATTCCAAATTTGAACACACTGTACAGGGTGATCCCTTTAAGAGGAGCCTATACCTTATCTCGAAACCTACGGGGATTTTTAAATTCAAAAGTTGTTTCTATTAAAATGACCTTTTTTTATTTTCCTAATCGTCACTTTTTTATATACAGGGTGGTAAAACAAAGTTACATTTTTTTAAATAGAACGCCCTACATTTTACTGCATTGTTTCATAGTCCTTTCAAAGAAAAATTCAACGATATATATGAGTATTACTCAGTGATTTACCGTTTCGAACTTATTAGCGATCATCTTCAAAATTCAGGTCATGTTTAAACCATCATTTTTGGGTTGCTTATTCAGTTTTTGAACTTTTTTTATCTATTATATTTACGGAAATAATGCTTATCTAGGGCAATGTTCAAATTTAAAATATTTTCTTAAAATACTCCGTATTGCCGTGTTTCGCAAAATGATACATACATAAATTCTTTTACATTCATAATTTAAGAATCTTGTAAATGAAATATGTAATGTAATAAAAATATTCATATTCTTATCAATATAGGCCATATGTCGTTATAAAATATATAGAAACCTGCCCGTTGAAATACACAATCACAAAATTGTTGATATTATTAATTTTGACCTTTTTGTCATAATAATCGCAGTAGCATTGAAAACAATAGTAGTTCTCGGTTGTGGTAATTTTGAGGATTTTTTGACAGGTATCAGTGCATTAAGGGTATTTTATTAAGTTGCATTTTTGTTGAGACTATTTTGTATAACGTATACGAAGGAGAAAAAAGTTGATCTATTAGAATGCTCTTGCTCTCAGACAATAACGAACTAAATTTCTCCATAAGAGATTGCCAGGAAGAAATAATTGCCAAAATATACCAGCAGTTTCGAACAACTGGCAGTGTTTTAGTGAAAAAAAGTAGGAGCCGAACGGTATTAGATGAAAATATGGAGCTAGATATTCTTCGGCATTTTGAAAATAATCCAGAGACCTCCACACGCCTTGCCTCTGCAAATGTAGACGTAAGATGAACCACACTTCAAACATGTTTAAAAAATAACAGTTATAAGCCATTTAAATTCACATCAATAGAAAAACTACAAGAAGCATATTTTAACTTAAGATAACATATTTCAAAATATAATTTGGACCGATGAATCAATACTCACTGTGGTGTTATTTAATACAAAAAATATGCATTATTGGCGTTCAGAAAATAAAAAATATGTTTTTGAAGTAAACAAGTAGGGGGAAATCCGTGCAAGAATGGTCCGCAATCTGGAGATCTAGACTTTTAAGACCCATATTTTAGAAACAAAACTTACATTTGTACGATATTTAAACTTGACGAATGAAATTCGGTCACTTATACGCAATAATATTACCCAAAAAGAGCATCCAAATTTAATTTGGCAGCAAGATGGCGTTCCTTAACATCGAAGTGCTGCAATCATTCGTTGTTTAAATGAAACTTTCAGAGAGTGGATTGGACAAAATCTCCTCCATCTCCTGGCCAGCGAGGAGTCCAGATTTTTTGTGGGGAACATTGAAAGATATGGTTTACAAAGATAAACCGTCATTTCACGAAGACATTTATTTAATCGTAGAAATAAGTAATTGCGAAATCTGGCAACATTGTGCAAAAGCTTAACATTCTGTTTTGAATACGACTTCTTAACAATGCTCTAAAACTGTTGAACAAGTTGATAAGGATCCAAATCACAGTTTCATATTTTATACCCAGTTTTTAATTTTATCTGCCAATTAAGCTAATACGGTAAGAGACGCTTGCTATATTATATAATTGAAATTGCTATTAAAGTGGCTATTCGAAACTCCAATTACATACAGGGTGTCTCATTCAAGAAAACTGAGAAAAACATCATTTTGCACATCATTTTGCGAAACGTGGCAACAACGCGCATTTTAAGAAAATATTTTAACCTTGATCATTGCGTAAAGAAAAGCATTATTTTCGTAAAACTAATAGATGGAAAAAAGTGTAAAAAGTTGATAAGCAACCCAACAATGATGTTTAAACATAACCTGAATTCTGAAGATGATCGCTAATAAGTTCGAAACGGTGCATCACAGACCCATACTCATATATATATATATATATATATATATATATATATATATATATATATATATATATATATATATATATATATATATATATATATATATATATATATATATATATATATCGTTGAATTTGTCTTTGTCCAAAAATGCAATAAAATTTTAATAGAAACAACATTTTTTTTGTAACCTCCGAAAGTTTCGAGATAAGGTATAGGCCCCTCTTAAACGGGCCACCCTATACATATTTAAACTATTTAAAAATTATTTACATGTTAAACCGAGATGATAACGTTAGGTTTTTCGTTTTGGAATATATCCGGATCCCTGCTGATAGCATATTATAATTTTTTTGTTTGGGTTGTCTAGTTTAACTTTTGTGGGTTTGAGGTCCTCACATAGTGTACTCTTATCTTGAATATCTGTAGTGCCACTTAAGATATTTTCAAAATATTACTCATTATGCTAGGTCAGTGGTTTTTGTATTCAAAAGGGATGATCATATTTATGCCTATTAGTTTGCAGTTTAGAAAGTTGAAACATCGGAGTTACCCAAAAAAAAAATTGAAAATTGAAATTTATATAATCCGAAATTTCAATGATCGCCATTAAGTTTATGCATACGCATTAAAACATTTTATCGGTCGTTTTAGTAATTTTTTAGTTGCTACCGTCCAAAATTTCACTAAAATAATTTCTCTCACTCTCTGCCATTGGGAGCGATCGAATGTTTTCGCTAAATTTTAGCTATGATATCCTATGCTGTTTGTCAGTTCTGACGGTCGCGTCTCGCGTCACTCAGTAAACGTGTTCTTAAAAAAAGTATAGTTTGCAACACGTTAATTAATTTCTTCAATCACACAATCACATTTATTGAGCACTTGCTCTTCTCGTGCGAAAAAGCGGCTACAATGGCGTTCATCAAACTTGTTGCACAATATACGATTAATGCTATCTTTGTCACATTTTATATAAATAACTCTAATTTAACACGCCCCCGTATCTCATCGTAGAAAATAAGGAAAATTGTATCGAATTATTTTTCTAAACGAATACTAAGTCAAAAAACACATATTACCAATGTTCTGTCGGCCATCAGATTTCTTTTATTAAGTTGCAATGTTTAATCAAAATCACTCTCACAACCCATAGAAACAAAAGCGACACCTTGATCTATATTTAATTAGACTTGCAACAGGTATCACGAAAACAAATTACTCGCAAGACACTGTTTTGAAATTCATCAGTTGGTCAAAATTACTAATGAAATAACAATTTCATCGGCACAACAATTACCGCAAAATGAAATAGATTATCCGATCGTTTCCTCTTCCGGAATAAATGATAGGCCTAGAGACAAATGTATAAAAAAACAAGTAATAAATTCTTAATAGTTACCTTTGTTTCCGATCAATTTTCTCCTCTCCGTATGGTTGGCGGCATCCTTTTTTTTAGTTAATTTTGTTTGCGAACTGACGACCAACTCTAGACATATCCACAACAATACAACAGAAACAACTGACACAAAACATATGATAGCGATGGAACAAAGGACTATTGCGAGACCAACGGATTTCTAAAGCCCAAAACGTCATTCTTGTTCAACCAAGTTCGAGGTAGTGATGGTTGCCTACCACGCCAAAGCTTAATGATTTTGCCAATAAATAAATGGGTACAGGGCAAAAACGAAGGGAATTATTTAAATAAATGAAGCATTTACTTACGAAGCGTTTATTCTCAATAATTATTAAAATCTCCATTCTGTTTTTCCAATAAGCCGAGAACTTTACTCTCGAGTGTAAATAGATGGTCATCGTGCACGTCCGGCACGACGCTGCGCATCATTTTTGCCAAATTGCAAACATAGTCAATGTTCGGTCCACTAGGCCCCACCGAATTGACCACCTGGAAGGCTATTTCATCTAATTCAGCTGGTCCGGCATAATGAGGGTTGTCGTCGGACGCCAAATAAATGGTCATTTCAAACGGTGGTATGTCGTGCTCTTTCGGGTGAAAGACCACCTTTTTCCGTTCATAGCCACCCTTTTCTCGAAAATCCAGGTGATTGATCACGTCTTCGATGTCGGTCTCCCGGATTTTATAAGCAATCCCGTAAACCTTCGAGTCTTCTTTGCACGGGATTAGGGTAACCACCCTACCGGGATTCTCCGGCGTACCGCGATGATCGGTGCTGTGCTGGTAAAACCTCCTCTTGTACCCCTTGATATAGCCGACAATGTTTTCTTCGTAAGGAAAATCCACTTTCCACATCAAAGACCCGTAGCCGAACACCCACATTTTTCCGAATAAATAATTAATACAATCACATATATAAGGCTAAATAATATCACCACCCAAATTTCTTAGGAACGTTTAATACTGATACTGAATGCTTGTTTCATTGTAACCTAATTGCTCTAAAAACGTCAGATGATCGTCATCGCGCGACAGCGGCAAATTTCAGGTTTTGAATGGGGACGGCGTACACGAGGCGGTTGTCTGATGAAACATATCAGGTCATTAACTCAGTTTACTGGAAGTAAACGCAGGCGGATTGTGACCTAGATCGCGGTTCAAATGTAGGCAACCCACATTACACTCGATCGATGTTCTTTGATACACTGGGAGAAATGGAGAAATGGGAACAGAAACCTGAAGCAGAATTCACCAACATTGCCTTAACTATAGAATTGACTAGAACTGACTAACGGTTTTTTGTAGTTTTTAGAGACACGTTTCTATTTTTTTTGTTAAATAGTTAAGGCATGACAAAACAATAGTGAACGAGGGTGTAGTTTGCGAAAAGCAAAGCACAATGTGCGATGTTCCCCTAACATTCCGCTAAAGCAACATCAGTGGTTCTGCAGTAGGCATTACTTATCTTTTTGGATATACTTATAATCTTAACAAATAATTTACTATTTTTTAATAAAAAAATGTTCCGTTAATACGTCAATACTAAAATTGTTTTATATTATTTCTCAATTTTTCTTTGTGTGTTGGGTATTTTGGTGATAAATCATTTGTTAACGGCCACTTCAGGAAATCAATGATTCAGTCGTTTATATTTTCTTTGAACTAAGTGATTGTGATAAATTTTGACTATTTTTGACAAGTCATAAAGAGATATATAGAGAACTATTTGAAAGCTTAAGCAAAATATCATGCATCATGGTTTCTATATTAATAATATGTTTTGTACTTTTATTTCACTAAATTTGACATGTTCGCTAGGAAAAAAAGTACCACATGGTTTTACACCAAAACTTTATTGTTAACACGTCTAGTAATATATAAATAATTCGTAAACGAGGATCATCACGAGGTGTTGTCGGAAAAACGTTTCACAATTTAATAAAACACTAAAATTTATCGTACCAAATGTTTCTTAAGGATACTTTACGTTTACTTCAAATTTTAGCTTGGTCACTCCATCTTAACATCTAAATTATATTCGCCCGCCTTTCCTTTGGTGTAAAAATTATCTAAATGCGACTAAATACTCTGCCCCAATACATCCCATCACAATAAACTCAAGCCCTTTTTGTCAGTTTTTTTACTGTTTACAAAAAAGTAGCAATTTCAATTAGGCGACTGAATAATATGGCGGTATCGCTTCGTTTAAATATTAAAAGACCTCATATCAAAACTCAACTTCACTTCGGATAAATCTACGAATACTGCCTCGACGTGGAAGGCAGGTTTTCCTCTTGAAAACTGGTAGTCGAATCTTCTTTAGTGGCCAATGGGGGTGCCTGGAAAGTAACGACTCTTAAATTGCTTATATATACTATGCTATAAGTTTCTAAAATCTGCCGTACTTGAACATCCTCCTTTAAAGTTGGCAAGAGGTCATCTGTAGAATGGGGACTAGGCGTCGGAGGACCTATACTCATAGACCCGGTCGCCATTTTCGATAGACGCCTTTGCATTTCCCTCTCTTCCTTCTGTTCCCTCTCTCTCTCGTACCTCCGAGCACTGTAGCTCCTTATAGAATTGGAACTATGCACCGAGGCTATACTAGGCCTCCTGGAACCTGTAAACCTTTCGATTGGTTGGTTTTTCACAAAATTTACCGATCACGGAGCACGAGGATTACAAATAACAATCAGTCCAAAGCGACAGAGACATATTCCATGCTTACCTTTTGTTGAATGCAAGACTCCTCATACATCGCATGCTTTCTACTACTGTGTCTGTGTTAGAAGAGGTGTATTGGTTTGTGTATGTTGTAAATCTACAAGGAATGTTTCCTTTAAAGCCAAGCACAGAACATCGTAAGAAAAAGCATCCTTCCGCTGCCATCTTGCCACAGACCGACTTTCTACTGGCCCGACAGCTACCCCATCATACTTACTTTATCGGAATTTCATAGAGTGGCTAAAAATAGAGGTTATGCAGAGCCGAACTCAAAAATTGGACAATAGCTAGATAAAATTTTAATTAAATAGTTGCGGTTTGTCGAACTTTCCGCATTGTTGCAAATTCGGAACACGACAGGAGTTGAGAACAAAGACCACAGGATTCCGACTATTTGCGTTGCCGCAGACTCACGGAAGTCCAAAGTTCGAAAAAAAAATTATGTCTAAATTCTGCAAAAATGGTAAATGCAGAAGGGTCGCGGCGTAAATTCGCCTGCAGAAGTATTATTTCCTCGGATCATATCAGACGAGTGCATTTCCATAAATTCGTTAAACGCAGACCAAGAGGCGATCTGAAGAACGCCGATTTGTACTCCAAAGCAGCAGAAAGTCGGAATTGAACAAGTAGTCTCCGAAGCACGAACATCACATACAAAATATGCGAACGTCACAAACAAATCAGCCCCAGAGTTATACCGATTTCGCAAGGGGGCCCAATCTGACCGCAGTAGGAGAGTAGCAAGATGGCAGCGGTACGAGCTGCACCTGCTCGAGAGCCGGGTACGGTAGCAATGCCGCTCCGGTGGTACGTGGCGGCGCTGGATGTGCGCCGCGACGCCATAGAAGATACGAACGTCCTACGGCTTGACGCTTGCGACTGAGTGCCGCCATTCTTGACCATTATAGGTAGCGGTAGAGACCCTGTAACAGATGGGCTACCTTACCCAACAAAAGGGATTCACTAAGTCGTACTGTGGTCACAATCCCAAATATTTAAAGTGTGCTTACACAAGTTCGAGTCACAATTAAGTACAATGCATGACACATAGACAGACATAACAAACAGTCAGTCACTAGAAGAATCTGATTAAAATTTAAAGAACAAATCTATATTATTTAAGGTAACGCCGTTAGTACATTCATCGTACACGCAAATTAAGATTGCATTATTTCAATTTATTTAATGTTCTGCAAGGTTTATTTTCCACTGATGCTACACATATAGAACAAAGTTTCGGCAAACACAAAACATATTTCAAGGGGTGATAAAAAAAAACTGTCGTAAGCTGTTACTATATAGTTTTGCTCTTTAATTTTTTACTACCGGAACTCGTCAGATGACCTTAGTTTGAGACAATGTCGATTAAATAATAATAATAATTTACATTTCTATACGTAGCTGAAAAATAGACCAAAGCATACAGTTAACCATTTAGTCTCCATTTTATGGTAGTGATGTATCAAAAACAGTCAGAGAATTCATGGAAAACCATTTTTAAAGTTCAACGAAGGGGTGCAAAAAATATATTCTATGTCTCAAACAAAATGAACCGGTCATCGTTAAAAGGAACTTAATAAAATATTACGAAGTTAACTTTTACACGCCATACTATCAACCAATAATTTCGTTGTCGCTCTGTAATCAGTTCTTTTCTATTACTTTCACATTAAGGTAATTTTTATACTTTGTATCAATAAAATCATATAAACTAAAGTGTCACATACAGCGACTGACAGCTTAAATGATGCAGACGCTATAACAAAAACTAACTGGTCTGAATGTCTGTTTATTTATTGGGAAAAAGAACAACTTATTGAAATTAAGTTGGTAAAGAGCCTTCTAAAAAAGTGTGAATTACTTTTTGTGTTAAATATGCCTTACTTAGTTAACCATAAGGAACTAATTAAATTATATGAAATATTAACGTCACAGCTTAAATAATGTAAAAACAATAACCGGTGTCAAAACTTATCAGTTTGAAATTTACTTATTACTGCAATTGTTTTTTTATTTAGTTTGACATTTTGAAACAGGTTTTTTCAGTAAAACGATTTTTTTTAAATGGGTAGTAGGACTACAATTTCCGCGATAAATTTAATTATTACTCATGTTCGTCAACTGTTCAGCATATCATTGAGCGTTAACGAAAATGGGGTCGAAAATAAGTTAAAATTAGCTCCAAATACGATCTTCAATGAACGTGAGAAAAGATAGATTGTAAGGGAGGTATCGAATTATCCAAAAAAAAGTGCTCCCAAGATGTGTGTCGAAGTAAAACGACAGTTTAGAAAAAGGTGTAACCTCGAAACAATTTGACGAATCCTGCGAAAAAATAATTAACATGGTCGAACTGACAGAAATATGCCTTTCATTAGCCGAAGAAATAGATGCGTGAGATTGGCATTCGCTAGAGAGCATATCTATAAAGATTTGAACTTCTGGAATTCATTAATATTTGCCTATGAGACCAAATAAACTTATTTGGATCCGATGGAAAAATATCAATATGGAGAAAGCCTAAGGAGGAATTAAAATTGAAAAGTTTAAAAGCTACGGCAAAGCACGGTGGAGGTGGAGTGATCTTATGTATGTCATCTGCAGGAGTAGGTAATTGAAGGAAATATGAACCAATATGTGTCTATGGATATATTAAGAGAGCATCTGGTTGCTAGTACCCAAAAATTAAATATGGGTAACAATTATCGGTTTTACCATGACAATGATCCAAAGCACACGTCATTTCGGGTACGCGGTTGGTTGCTTATAACTGCCTAAATGTTATTAAGACACCAGCCCATTGACATTAAAAACAAAGTAAATAGTGCCCCAATATCTAATAAGAATGAATTAGAAGTAAACATTACTGAAGTCTCGAGCACAATTTCCCCGGAGTATACTAGAAAATTAATTGAATCAATAAACAGTAAATAAACAATTAATATTAGGCAGGAGTATTTAAAATTATGCACTTGTTTTTCTCTATTGATGTGGTTATATATTGTTTTGAATTATTTGTGCTGTGACGTTAATATTTTAATACTTTACTAACTTAATTTCAATAAGTTGTTTTTTTTTTTGAAATAAATAAAGAGACATTCAGACCAGTTAATTTTTGTTATATCGACACCATTTCTTTTTAAACAAGACGGAAGGGAAGCAACGTTTGTATTTAACATATCTCAAACTCAACTAATCTGACACTCGTCATCTATAACTATAAATCAGTGTAGTTCCCCTTGTAATATATCTGTAGGTATATTTACGTGCTGATGTCAACCGGCATTCACTTACCTGGATCACTGGAAAACAATATGGGCGGAGCTAGATTGGCATTGCCAAACCTATGCCGGCGATGTCCAGACCCGTACAAATTCTGATTAAAAAGATGCAGTACGAAACAAATAAGGCCAGACAGTATGGCTATACCCGACAAGACCCCTGCGAAGGTTGAAAAGTCTGTCGCTACGACGACAGCGTCTGAAAAATGTCGTTACAATATCAGACCGGGAGTGGTGCCATACCTGCCTTCGGCGCAAAACGTTCGTTTCGAAGGTTTCTGGAGAGACACGGCGTGGTAGCCAGTCTGGCATTGACATATGGCGTTGTGATGGACCTGAATGCAAGACGCGTGCTGATCCGTGTACTCGCAAGTCTCGTGGTAGTAGCATTGCTCGCCCAAACTTTTAGCTACGAAAAGAAATGTTTCGGTTTTAATGACTAAATTTCCAAAATGCTTCAGCTTTAGCTCAGATGCATTCCAGCATTGTAACTTTCTCTTAAGATGCTTAATGACAACTTATTGTTAGAGGCGGTATACAATATCGAATATAAGATATCGAGTGAAAAATATTTCTTAGTCTATGGTATATGATCTACCTATGGTATATAGTTTTGGTTAGTTATGCTTAGCTTATGTCACTTAACTAAGCAATTCTGGCATATAAAAGCATGTAAAAAGTTGTGTGATAATGTCTGTAAAATAAAAAAATGCTGTTAACTCACGCTTGCTACATCCTGAGTAGGGATTACTAAGTCTAACCGGATATTTCTTCTCACACTCGCATATGTTGGTAACCAAGTTGCAGTAAGCGTGTTGCAGCCGCGAGCTGCAAACATGCTCACATGGTGCACCGACGAACAAACCTTTCTCTAAAACCATAAAAAGTGTATTGAGAAGTATATGAACAACAAAATCTTTTTAAGTTATGTTAGTATGTAAATCTGTGTATATAATTTGATAATACAAATTACTGATTGACTCTAGACTCTAAAAAAATAAAAGCCATTATAAATAAAATACCCTAGCGATATATCTGGATTGAATCAATTCAGTAAATGGATCGATTTCCTATTGAAAAAGTTGGTTGCACATATCAACAAGTCTAGCACTAACCGTCTGTCCAGTTTCGGTGCTGGTACACGTCCCTATCCTCGCCCAGCAAATTCTGGTCATCATGGTCGTCATCATCATCCTGGTATGACCTGGGTGGAACTAGACGTTGTCCTCTATATGGCAAAGGCAAATACAAAACCAACATCACCCTAAGCAGACAGGATTTCATCTCCAGAGGCTTAGGCTGTCCTCTAGATCTGGTTCTGCATTCGCTAACATTGTATCGCTGCAATAAGCATTTTTTATTGTCATATACAATAGTATAATATAAATAATATATACGGTATAAACCAGTATTTGTACGTCAACGGAGAAATTTGTAAAAAAAAATGAATGCTGGTTTTCTAAGAGAACCGATTAAATGAGATTTGCAGTCGGTTATAGGAGCGTACTTTCTGATCATCTTTCTACAGCATCACCCGAAATTAAAAGAATGATGGAATTAAAACATATCAGGCGAGTCCTGCATTTCGCTTCGAAAATTTTATAATTTTGGCAGTAGAATATGATTAAGGTAATAAGAAAACATCATTTTATTATTATAGCAAGATTATTTAGTCTAGATATATGATAAATATTTTTATAATTAAAAAAATAACCGTTCAAAGAAGCAACGATGAAAGAAAAACAAAAAATGTATAACCATGTTCAATATAGAAGTTGGTATATAAGGAGTCCATATTTTAAATGATAGCAATTCTCATTATACGAAAGTCATATAAAATGTATGTCCTAGCATCTAATTTTCGTGGAGATTACATTGAGCAGGTTGCTTCAGTTTACAGAAAACATCGTATATAAATTTATATATTATAAATTGCTATGATAAAATTCAAGTTACATGAAGAGGTAAATTAAATCTGAGATTATTTCAGATTTAAAAATCAGTTTCATTTTAGCTGCGGTGGAACTCAGGTTGAAATGTGGAGAATTATATTTTAGATTAAATGTGTTGTGTGTAGTTATTGAAGTGAAATGAATAAGTGAAGAATAGCAAGATTTATATAAATACAATTGTATGCCTTTTAAGCAGTAATGAATTCCGAAATGAATAATTGAATAATAATAATGGAAATGTTGCCTCGATCAGTATTTTATTGTTGAACGTGTTGCTAGAAACTTAGCAGAAACAATACAAACAGAACTTTATCGAATTTCAATGCGAAAATTGGTCGGCTACACCGAAATAGAATGCAGTGTTAATTATCGATCAAAGCGATGTAATAGAAAGGCAATTATTGATGATGCCATTTTTGAAGGACACGTTTTATACAAGCACTAAAATTTTCACTGGTTACCAGAAATCGAGCCAGATATCTAATTAATTTTGTGTCACGTTATTTATTAGAATCTCGTTTTTTCTATTTTGTAGAATTAAATTGTATCTCATAACATGAAGTAATATTCTCCAGAAAAAATTTTTGAGTGATAACGCAACCTTGCATTTCATTATACAATAGTACCGTTTGTAGGATTTATAGTTTTATTAAATGTTTTGTTGGTATTGTCAGGAACTTAACACCATTTATCATTTTCATCTACAAGAAAGGGCGATTTTCAAAATCTCAACAAAAGACGCCGTTTGAAATGTTGTCGCTACAAGGAACCCGAATATTCGGGGTCTCCCGAATATTTACCTCCCGAATTTATCTTTCCAGTCGCAGACTGGTCCGCGATCAATAAAAGACTCAGTTAGGGAAAGTTTGCATGCAACCCCATAACCTCCATATTCTACTAAGCAGCTTGCCGTTAAAACATTATTTAAGACTTACTCTATTATCCAATGTGCTTGTGTAATAACGTATATCACAGCATATCAACACGAATACTATAATCGCGATACTCGCTCCGCTGTTCTCCCCCACGAATCAGGGGATGCGTGACGGTTGCGTTCGTTAACGGGTTGGCCTACTATAACGACAACGATATGGAGAGATGATTCCTTTGGCACAGTTACGTAAAATTCTGCGATAATAATTGTAACTACCACAGTAAAAAATATATAATGAAGTTAATGTTAAAATCACCACAAACAAACAACACCAAACCATCAAACCAAAACACACCAATTTAAAAATCTCTATAGAAACAGTATTTTAGATAATTTTAAGACGCAGCATGAGCTTAGTTTAGGTGTTATATTTTGTACTTGATACATTTTTAATTGATTTGTGCTCCACTCGCATCAAAACACTTCTAACCACTGTAAAATTCTTTGGTACTACTTTCATGGCCACCGTTTTATCTGAGTTCAAATTTAAGCAATTATCGCTGCTCCACCCTGTTATCACTCTGACGGATTCAGCACTTTTATATGAAATTTAAATATAATTATATTAAAATAATGTTGCTGTCGTCTGCATATAAAATTGTGACGCCAAAGCTTTCTAAATTTAGAAGTAGATCGTTGATAAACATATTAAACAGTGTAGTTGATAAACAAGAACCTTGAGGTGTACCTTTATTAACAGAGTGTTGCGTGCGTTCTTGTAGATTCGAAAGAACCTATTCGGATGCGGGATCTCTTATGCCTATATATTTTAGTTTTCTTAGGAGCAATCCATGATCGACGCTATCAAATGCTCTACTAAGATCAAAAAAGAGCCCGATGATGTACTCCCTGTTATTCAATGAATTAGAGATTTACTCATACGAAAGATATTTTGGTTTTTTAAAAGTAACTGAAATTTTTCGAAATAATTATTTTAACACGAGTTGTAACAAAATTCAAAAACTTTACCAAACTGATATTCTAAAGCTGGTGGGTAGTTATAAATTGGTACAATCTTAGAACATTTTAAATATTCCAAAACTCAAACCAAATACTCTCATTATTATTATATTTGTATTAATATTCATAAGGAGTAATTCCACGTCTCATAACGGCCATAATTTCTTACTTCAAGTAATTCTGGTACACACACACTGTTAAAAAAATTGAGTCCTATCACATGAGTAATTATGACGAGAAGAAAATATGATTCTAAATAGGTTTGATGGGCAATCTTTAAACTGGTGCCCAATTAGAAAATACATGCAAACAACTTTGCTTGTTTTTGAGTCCAATATTAGAATTTAAAAATTATACGGTTTTAAAGGTAAAAAAGTAACACATCATAGCTTAAGTGACCATAGTTTTCTCCGATTTTGTCTAGAATGTCTATCCTACCAGACTCTCCTAATTTTCTCCTAGTTTTCCCTATAGTAGGCGTTGAACGAGAGGTCATGGCGCAATCGCTGTCAAATGTTAGACGCTTTTGATAAACATTTTCTGCGACGATTCTAAGGGAAACCTGGACCCAATTTTTACTTGACCTTCAGAAATGTCGCGGGACTTTATGCAATTTTTAAAGTGCCACTACTTGTTAACTGGTCATATTGTAAATAATTTTGTATTACTAACGATTAACATAATAATATAATTATTAATTAATTCCGATCGTAAGCCAAGTTGAACAAAAACCGTTATTATCACACATATAATTGTATTTTGAAATAATAAATAATTGATAATGTAAGAAGATCTGAATTACTTTTCATATGAGAAATTTTTAAATGACATTTGCTTATACTCGATGAGTATTTCAAGCATAAATTTTGTGGACGTATGAAAAAGAAAATAAACTGTAACTCATAAATATCAAAACGAGCTGGTATTGACGCCATCTAAGACAAATGCAGAGTACACCCACACAATGTCATAGTTGTTTAGAACAAATTTGTAAAGCGATGGACTCCTACAACTACGGCAATATAAGTCTCAAGAACGAATTATTATTGATACGTTAAAGTTTATTTAAATAATCTTACCGCAAAACCTGTTTTTAATAAATCCTGATGAGTCAGCGAATCATACCGGGTGATTCATTTTGAATACTTAGCTCATATTTCTCGGATAGTTTGCACCGGTTTCATAGTAATTTTCAAATAAGGCGAATAATATTAACGATATTGCTTCGTCGTAATTATACAAGTAATATATACAAACCTACTTCAACAGCCTTGCAGACGCATATTAATAGGTGCCCATTGGAACACCCCGTATACCACTAATTATTCTCAACGCGAAGAAAACAACCGCGAGGTTCAAATAAATCGGGTGACCCTGTACAAGAATGACCCGCACGCCTAACAACAATTCTCGATAAATGTTGTTATTTGCGTTTGGGGTTCTTATCGTTTCAGCAGCATCCGCTGGTACACTTTCTGCATTTTATAATAGTCATTAACGGATTAGTTCAGTTTCGTGAGTGGCCGCGTGTAAATCGTAAAAATGTATCGGTTCAGTTCCTACGCTTTTGCAGCAGTACTTTCTATTTACGTGGTTCCTGCCTTAAGTCAACATTTGCAAAACAACACCTTTCACACCAACTCCACCTCTCACAGGACGGGAATATGTACCCTGGAAGTGCCGTAAGTACCCCAAACGTAACCATACGTGACCATTAATGTTATTTGCAATTCACCGAAAAATTATTGAAGCAAAAATATCTGATTACAGTACGATCGACATAATAGCACCACAGGATAGACACGGTGTAGTTCCCAGGGGCAACGGGGTAAGCATTTTTTTGTTATCCTCTTTTGAAAGCATCGCTGCAATTGATTATAATATCATTCTTTAATTAGTCGAATAGCAAAATATTTTATTTTGTCGGTACTAAAAGTGTTTATAGATAGATTCTTTCAAATTCAAAAGGCATTTTGTCAAAGTTTGCAAATCCCGAAGGATAAGCTGCAAGGGAATTCCAAAAATTCCAAAAACTAACCAAAAAATTATTAGTATGAATGGGGTTGCAGTGCACACTTCCCCTTCATCTCTAAAGGAGGATGCCATTATAGCATAAACGACAAGAAAAACGAGAAAAACAAGATAAAAATACGTTTTAACGGCAAATAAATATATGTAATAAAAATGAAAGTATAAATTTTGTAAATAATGGCCTGGATTTTTTCATATTTTGAGAAGAAATTTAATTTGTTACATAACAACAATCAAGTTATTGCATTTTTTATCCGAAAACTGGAAATTTAGAACAGTTCAATTTAATTTTAAATAAAATAAAATAAATAAGTAATGGTTTGAAAATAGGATAATTTTTTTATCACCATAGTCATTGATCAGTTTTAATTTTAAGTGTTCACAATATTGTTTGATTTTGAAAGTTTCAAGATTGTAATTATTAAACATTATCAGTTTGGCTAGATCTTGTTCTCACAAGATAAAATTTTAACAGTTTGTCTACAGAACATAATATTTATGTGGGTTTTCCATATTTAAAATTTTGTGATGCTTTAAATATGAACCAATGTTACTTCGAAACAGTTGAAAGAACCGAAGTTTAGCAATTCGCAATTCCGAAATATATGCTTGCTGATATTTTGTTGAAAGGTTGATTAGCTATCAATCAAGGTTCTATTGTTATTCTATTATTCTCAGTTTGTGACTTATGCTAAGTTCGACAATTAGAGCTCATGCATAATTTTGTTCTTATCAAGAAATATAATCATTTGATTGTAAAAATACGACTTCCTACGTTCCAGTCCAGGGAAGGCCTAAGCAAGATAGAAATTTGTTGTTCCGGATACGAGAGAATACCTCACAATTATTACGAATGTCGTCCAGTTTGCGAAAACGGCTGTGAGAATGGGAACTGTACAGCTCCGAATGTGTGTACCTGCAAGAGAGGTCATATTAAGGCAAGTAACGTTTACCATCACTAGTTCTGCTAATTGTAAATTGTAAATGTACTGCTATTGTATATGGTATAACAGGGCGAAGATCCAACCAAATGTATCCCCACCTGCCCCATCGGTTGCCTAAACGGAGTGTGTTCCGTCAGAGGTTTTTGTGACTGCAACGCGGGATACACTCACAGTGCTGACGGAAAATATTGTGTACCTGTTTGCACGGGAGGATGTGGCATTGGAGGGAAATGCGTTGGACCTGAGACTTGCAGTTGTTCAGCCGGGTGTGTAAAAATTAAATGCTTATTACTAACATGAGGTAATGACCTAACGTTCCTCTTCGTAGTTTTGCAGTGAATAAAGACAGCCGCAAGTGTGAGTACCATTGCGAGGGAGGATGTGGTGGAGGCAGTTGCATAGGACCCAATAAGTGTTCTTGCAAGTCCGGTTACAAGCTTTTAGGAAACTCTTGTGCCCCTGACTGCCCTCAAGGTAAGTCAACGTATCTGATGGAGGATTGAATACTTAGGAGTGTGTAGCAACCTCAGTAACCTAATCGCAGCGGAAAGCCGGAATGTCGACCACAAACAATGAACCCTAATTCGTAGGGTAAAGCCATTTTCATCTGACATTCTTGCAATCTGCTTCACCTATTTTGCTCTGTACCATGATTAAGGCGTAGGAATACCTTTCAAAGAAACTTCCACACCAATATGGGAATTATCCTCCCCCCCTCCCTCAAAGAATATATAAGCAGATTCAGAGTAAAATGCCATCAAGTCTCAGGTATGAAGAAGCCAACAGGATGATTGGCGTAATGTCAGCAAGTTCGATTCGTCAAAAACCAACACACTACAATATAAGTAACGTCGCAGAATCAGTATAAGTAATATAATTTGTTCATAACCTCAATTAAAGGTATCTAGGTTAAGTTTATGCGCCTTTTAATAAACTGTAGAACCCATTGCCAAAAACTAAGGCCTATTTTTATTATAGGTTGTTTAAATGGAATATGTACCGCTCCAAACACTTGTACTTGCAAACCAGGGTGGAACCTAGATAGTAAAACCGGCACCAGTTGCGTACCACATTGTAGTTCGCCATGCTTGAATGGGGATTGCACTGCTCCGGAGACATGCACGTGCAAAAAGGGATACATTGAAGCTCCAGGAACCAATGGACACAAATGCGTAGCTTTTTGTCCAGGTACTTATTATTGTTTATCCGGAAAACCCACAAATAATACTTACTTATTATAGATGGTTGTTTGAATGGTGTTTGTTCTGCGCCGAATTTCTGCATCTGCAATGCGGGATTTGTGAAAGAGCGCAAGGGTAGTAACACTTGCGTGAGGAGGTTGCGAAGATCTCTGATGCACTTCGAACTAATCCCCCAAGAAGTTCTTATGGGCCATTAGAGGAGAATGTTATAGGCTAATGTTCGTTTAATAAATAAATGCAATTTATGCTTGAAAAATCGTTTATTTCTATATTAAATATTACAAATATGATTTTAATAAGTGAGCCTAGATTTAATTTACTTTAAAAAGGCGCACGAGCAGATTGAATCGGTTTCGTTCCGTTTTTGAAGTACGATCTCGAGTACGTGGTAGGCGACAGGTGTTCGTTGAGCTATTTATTTATAGATGGCGCTTAACGGATCCACAATCGATGATATAAAACTTATTCCCGAACTATTATTCTCACGTAATGCTGCTATCTGCTATTTTTCAATATAACAGCAGCATTCATATAGGTGGACGAATGGTTTGACGTAGAGTTTTGTGAATGGAGATGGCATAATTTAGGAGGGTCCCTTGAGGGTATCTCGTCGTACACGGGTTCCAACTCTTCCACGAATAATTGGTGAGAAACATCCTCCGATGTACCTCTGGGCAGTGTGCCCGTGACTGATATAGATCGGGGTATGTCGGGATGCCAAGTAAGATTTTCAAGATTGGCTGCAAGAATGTGACTCAAATTCACATTAAGTGACATGGAAAAAATACCTTGCTTTGCATTTTCCTTATTTTGGTATAGTGGGTTAAAATCTCTCAATCTTATTTCCTGCTGCTCGATTACGTTATTTTCCTTAACCGAGTAGTAACTGGGGTTCTCGAAGAGTGGAGGATCTAAAAATTAATTATTAAAAAATGCCATTAAAGTGGAAAAATATGCATTTCACTTAGAAACAATAAAAAAATTATTTGACCCCGACGTGATTTGAACACGCAACCTTCTGATCTGGAGTCAGACGCGCTACCGTTGCGCCACGGAGTCTTGTACATGACAGTGCACATTTGTAAAGTTACTCCGCTATTGCGTTTTATTTTGATGTAAAGTATTTTTTTAATGAGGTGTTCGAGCCTTATATAATATTATGTATTGATATTGTCATGGTTAATAAGCGATTTGATATTAACATTCCATTTCCACTAATAATACATTGATTTGAAATATGACATGCTATTTTTTTATTTTGCCATTCACTTATCTTGCATTTTCTCACAAAGTACCTTCTTATATCCGTTTGTTATAGAATACAACGCGTCATTTTTAAAACTAAATTGTAATGCAACAAAAAATAAATAAATTATATTATAGGGCGTGTAGATTTCCAAAAATTGCATTCGAAAATTATTATTAGAGAAACAAGAGTCAATTATATTTAACTAAATTCATGAATTTTTACCATACTGGTTGAAGCAAAAATTGTGTTTGCGAAGTTCTTTCAAATATTTCAGCCAATGAATAACGTACTAAACTTTAATTCTAACTGTACTATTAATAACTGCTCAACGTGGCCCATATTTCTAGTAGGAATGATCTGAAAAACACCCAATATTTTAAATTAACAGATTTTGGATTTTAGAATTCCATATTGGAGATTTAAAGATTTCTTCATATTGAAGGTCATTTTACACCCTATAACCAAATATAAAATACGTTTTAAAAATCCGGAACAAGGACCATCGCAACTGTTGTTTTTTTTCTCATTAGTATCTATTATTATCATTGCAAAAAGTTCTCCAATAAATTCTAAGTGAGGTATAAAATTGGTGAAGAAACACAAAAAGGCAATGGTCACTAATAGTAACAACTGCATAAATTTGGCTGTAACAAAAGTATCGAACGCAAGACGTCCTGTACAAAACATTGTATGGATAACATAACCATAAAGGATGTACGAATAATTGGGATGAAAAAAATTATTATCTTGTGAAAGTTCGATTAGACCGTATAGTAACGACCGGTCTAGACGGACAACAGCTGCAGAGCGTCGCCGAACGACGCCCATGTATCGCAGAGTGCGACCAAATATACTATGGGGAAGTAAAGGTCGGGAAATCGACATTTGTTCATATTGGTCAATTTCCGAATGCAACTTCCGGAGATCCATAATCAGAGAACCTGGTAGAGGGGTGTGGAATATACTGGTCGTATAAACAGCTACAGCGGTGGCATTTTTATCCGGACAACCTTTGTCTGCTTTTCTTCTTATCAATTTTAACGCTAATAACCCAATCACCGTCGCCGTCACAACCACAGTGATGACTGATAGGGACGCAATACCCAGGAACAAATTTCTACTTGAAATTTCCTTTTGTGGTTGATGTGTCACGAGAAAATGATCGGTGTTCGAAAGGTTATTCGTGGAGCCAGACTGGTTAGTAAACAGCACTGTTATTTGGAACGGCGATCGAGAGGTTAGCGTTGTTCTGACGTCAGCACTATCATCGGTGACGGTTGTGGACTCTGCATTTTCACCCTGGTAGTCAATTACGTCTTTGGATTTTTTCTCCTTAATGACGCATTTGCCCTTCTCAATGGTACAAGTCTGTGTAAGTATATTGCATGTACACAGATGAACGCATTTTGTGCCGTAGTAAGGTTTTGGACAGGTCAATTCGCAACTAAAACAAACCTCAATCAAAACGACCCAAATATTCAGACCGTAATTACCTGTCTGGCAGCCAACCTGAGACGCAGTCGCACTCTGCTTTGTTTTCGGCGACGCATTGTATATATTTCCAGCAGTTGCACTGGTTGGTACAGTTGGAACCGCGTTGATCAGTCATGCATGCTAAAACAAAATGCACTAAAATACAAACTAATAACTATTAGATAATTCTCACGTCTATCGCAGGAAGAGCCCATCCAACCCGGTTTGCAATCACAATAACCATTGCTGCAATAACCGTTTCGGCATCCTTTGCAGGCTTCATCAGCACATTCGCCTTCGCGCTCGTAATAGCCATCGCAGCACCTTTCTACAGTTTTATTGACGTAATTGACCTAAATATACGGTCCGTTTTGAATTTAACTTTCTTAACATAAATTAGCTAGAAGTTGGGTGTAAGGTATACTTCAGAAAGTAGGGCGGAAAACCTTATTCGTTTCTCATTGCAACTTGATTCCGACGGATGGGTAAACCGCAGAGGAACTATAGTGTATAGAGGAATTCCATTTAATTACACAGGAATTTTGAAAAATTCCAGAGTAGTTCCAAGGTATTCCACGAAGAAATCCGAAGGAATAATAAGGATAGAAGAAATTAATGTGTGTCTGTTTCTTCTCCATTCTTTCATATCATAAGGCTTGCCTCATTGATTTATTACAGCTCTATAATATATACTATAATACATACGTATATATGTATATGAGTGTATTTATTCAGCAACACGAATAATGGTAAATATCTTAATCACTCCGTATAATAAACATTATTACATAAATTAATATCAGTGACTAGTTTAGTTGAAAGAGCCTTAATACTATAACAGAAATTTGGGACTTTAAAAGTTAAGGAGAACTGGAGGTAAAAAAAGAACTGACATTTTTTAATGGAAAAAGGTAAAAAAGGGAAAACAAACGCCTTTTTGTCATTTGCAAGGGGTAGCAATGATAAAAACAATCATTGTTTTTGAAATACTTTGCAGTGGCACCCGTTTATATTTTACGATGCCGATAAATCAGACAATGGATAAGAACGTTACGCAACAGAAAGTATAACGCAGAAACGTAACTTTTCGACCGTATCGACGTCAGAACCCTCGTAACATACATAATTTGTTGTGACTTTGCCGGTATCACTTTCTCCAACCTACACCGCACACGTGATCTAGTCTGTCATTAATATCGTCGCAACGCCGACTTCCTTATCTATTTTCGCTTCGATGATATGTCCTTACAAACTTCTGACGCTAAGCGATAATGTGTCGAATGGCTTCAATTAAGTCCCGAATTCGAACTCCAAAACTAATTAAAACTTATTGTCGTTCTACGTTTCTCTTTGTTATCAGACACTTTAATATGATCCTAAATATCTCAAGATAACATACAATCAGACTTAAGGTGTCCAGAAAAATGTGTATCCACAGAAGGGGGTAACAAAAGAACTACTAATAAAACAATGGCGTAACATTATTCTAAACCGAGCAATAAAAGCAAGGGAAATTAAGGACCTCATAAAATTAACGAGAAAGTGACATAAATATAATGAGGAAGGCAAATAACTTAAAACGTAAGCAGGACACGCTATACATTTTACAAAGTCCTACTTGAAAATAAAAATATATTTCCCAACAGAAAAATTAGAAATTACAAACTAGGTATGGTCTGTTCATATATATGAGAAAGTGACCAATTGCATTTGAATGGGATTATCCAAAGGTGGTGATTAACATAACATGCAACATAACAATGCAACAAAAGTTTCGGAATTTAAATTCAGGTAAAATTGTGGTCCGTAATAGAAAATAATTTTATACCTACCTGTGTTTAATATTATTTGGTTTGGTATACTACTTATTTTATGTTTTTTAGTAATCATTCTTATTTCGTGTGTAATACAGCGTGTGTTGAATCGTGTGCGAATTATGCAAAATGTGTGTGAGTCTAGTGTATCTCAGGAGATGCTCCCGCCCAAATGTAGAAAACACTATTCTATTGAGACTAAGGAAGTTATAAGCAATGTTTATTTGACTATCATTGAATGTGGTGCCAGCAAGCAAGCATCTTTAGAAGAAACGGCCACATTGACGAAAATGATACCCCCGGAATCTGTTTGCGAAAAATATTAAAGATTCTTCTCTGGATTACCATGAAGACACCACCGCTGATTTATTTGAAAGTTGGTTTAAAAACACACTAGTTCCAAACATTCCTGATAATAGCGTAATTGTAATGGACAATGCAAGTTATCACAGTAGACAGTTGACTAAAACCCCTTCCTCATGTGAAACAAAAGCAACAATCCAAAACCACATGTATAATAACGACATTTATTTTCACGAAGATTATACCAAAAAGCAATTAATTGAGGTTCAATAAAGCTTGAACCTACAAAAGGAATACGTCTGTGATAAATATACGAAAAATCTAGGGCATACAGTTTTAAGGCTTCCGCTGTATATTTATTAACATGTTTGGCACCAACTAAAATCTGCCATTCCTCGTAGCAATGTTTTCACCGTGTTAACTCCAATGTCCTCAAACTTATGGAAACCGAAGTTTTTAACATCCCTCCACAAAGTTGGGCAAATTCTGTTAAACATATAGAAAAAGCACAACAAAACCTGTTCGGCCATATTTCATTTTTACAGCTTGCCCGGGTCTTTCCGTAATTAGTATCAGTTAGTCACTTTCTTATATCTATGAACACACTTTAACCCATACAGCCCAAACGACGTGTCAAAACAGAAACACAACAAAAATCATGGTCATAGATGAAAGAATCCAATCCATAACAAGTTGAAAAAATCACTGACAAGCCACATGCCTAGCATATTGTTTTTGGGACCTCTGAATACTTTCACTCATTTTGTGAAATTTATAGTATAACATCTAAATTTCGTAGATATGTGAAACTGGCCCCACAGCTCAAATTACTCTAAAAGCATTTACGCAATTAAAATATGACAAGCAAGTTAACCAACCTGCGGCGATAGCGAGAATAAGAGGCTATTAGGCCACTCCGAAGATCCTCTTGCACTTGTTACACATTTAATCGAGCTTTCACTCGATTTGCGTTTTTTTCTTTCTCGGATTCGAGGTTAGTAAACCACATCTTCTATTAATTAACAATTAATGTCTGGCGTTTAATTGCGTAACAAAATGTCTCCTTTTATGCAAATATTTTTATGTAATTCTATAGGAAACGACGTCGATTCGAGCTTTTGCGCATTTATCAACATCTATCACGTTTTTAAAAAACATTACATAAATGGGTTTCGCACTGGATTAACATCTTTTTACTAAACCCACATTAAAAACCGGCTTTAACGAAAGCTGTCCATTGCAATATTTTTGCAAAAGCAACAAAAACATTGATAATTCGTATTCGACATTCGCTTGATAACCGCAAAAAGTACGACATATTCTGAACATCGGTATTTAACCCAGTATTTCGCATGTAGATGCACAGCCCTGATTTCTTCATATACAGGGTGTTCCTTAATGATGTGTTAATAATAAAGGGTATAATTCTTAAGAAAGAAACTTTATATCAACGAAGGTCCTAAACGTCTTAACTTTAAAACTTAAGAAAATTGGGTAAATGCACTATGTACATCACCAGATATCCGCGATATATATCGAATATTTTCTTTTGACTATTCATTTCTTCCTATTAATATTTGAAGATGTAAATCCAGCTAGCTTGGAATAAATTACAGTTTATACGAGGTGTGTTTGAAAAGAAATTGGACGGGTTACATACGTACGATACTTTTTTTGTTATGTTCATAAAATGTCCCTAACATATGTTCACAATTTCAGCCAGTTTGCATGTTTACTTTTCTTGTGACACAGAAGCGTTAGAAGTGTTTTGTGTGTTCGGCGATTTTCTGCTGTAAAAAAAATTTAACAAAGAATTTACATAAAATTTTGTGTAAAAAATGGAATACAGTGCTGCAAAGCACTTGAAATGTTGAAAATGGCATATGGTGAATCTACTGTCAGCAAAAAAAAAAAATATAAATGGTACAAGATGTTCCAAGATGGCCGAGAAGAAGTCAATGACGAACCTTACTCTGGACGCCCCAGCACGTCAATGACTGATGAAGGCGTTGAAGAAGAGGAACGAACAAATGGTGCTGAAAAATCGTCGAATCACTATTAGAGAAGTGCCTGAAGACGTCGGCATCTATATTGGCAAGCAATTTTTTTGGGCATGAAACGTGTAGCAGTAAAATTTGTTCCGAAACTGCTTAATTTTGAACAAAAGTGCCGTCAGAGGAGGATCGCTCAAGGGCTGTTCAACGCCGTTAATGTTGATCCTGATGTGCTCAAAAAGGTGACGAATCATGAGTATATGGTTATGACGTCGATACCAAAGTCCAGTCGTCACAATGGAAGAACCCAGAATGGCCAAGACCAAAAAAAGCATGTCAAGTTCGATCGAATGTCAAGCTTTTGCTTACTGTTTGTTACCTTGAAGTTATGCTCGAAGCAATATGAAGAGAACATCCAGAATTGAGGGAAAACAATTCATGTATTTTGCATCACGGTAATGCACCCGCTCACTCATCGTTGCTTGTGTCTAACTTTTTGGAAAAAACAAAACAACAATTATGGCCTCCTGCGCCTTTTTCCTGTTCCCAAAACTCCAGAAACTCGTGAAAGGAAGGAGAACTCAAGGCTATACCAGAAGTGCTTCGAGGATTGGAAAAAACGTTGGCACAAATATCTACTTTGAACGGGGCAATATTAATTTTGATGAATAAATAAATACTTTTGTTAAAACTTAAAAATCACTGTACTTTTTGAACATATTTCGTAGATACCAATACTTCTTTGTAGACTTAAAATAAGTTGTTGGTCTTTATTTTTAGGAGAGTGGAAATGAGAATGGGCAGCAATGTATGTAGTTGATTTCTTAGGTGAATTTATTAGAAGAGATCATGCCTTGGCAGGTTTAGAAGAATTTCGTTTAGTTTAATATATGTGCAATCCTTTAAATCAATATTTTAAATCATCTAAATTCAATAATCATAAAGCATCAAACGCGTACATTTTGATCGGTTGAATGTGAGAGACGCGTCATTTATTTTCACCACCTCATAGCACACGTCCAGATGCAATTGAGTCATTAACCTTGTTGGATTTATATCACATAATGGCGACCAATAAGAGCTGATTATTAAGAAGGATACGTTGAAGACAGGATGCGAAATTAAGCGTTTCGCTTTCTCTCGCCGGTAACAAATACGACTATATAAATAATTACGGAATCCAACGTAATTAATCTCATAATTAATTTTGCTAAATCGGTGCTTTTCAACAAAATTGCACAAGCCGTTTGGAAATATTTTCGGAATTCAAAAAGCAAACATTGTTACAGTCTTCGCCGTAATGAACATCGTGCTCGTGTTTTAGTAATTAAAAGAGTCGGTTAGCATGTAATTAAATTGATGAAAAGAACACAACTCTCGATTAGGATACGACTGAATGACTAATTCTCTAAGTTGTTCGTTGCAATATCCCGGCGTGTTAAAAAATGGTACACGCTAACTGTTTTGTTTACTAACGTTTACTATGATGATTTAACACGTTCAATCTCATCTACCTGGCTAATAAACGAAGGTAAATAAGATGTCAATAAAGTTAAGTAAAGTCTTCCATAACAGGCGTCTGAATTGACTAATGAGAGTGACACCGAATTATATAGTGCGAGCCTAAAACTTTTCCTATGTATGTTAACTTTTGAAAAAAAAAATTCACTAGGATAAAGTCAGGATCGTGCATATTGTATTTTCTTCTTTTTGACCTCATAGTGATATATAATTTCTCGAAGGAAATTATGTGGTATTTATTTATTGTCACAGTTCGCCTAAGAATTTCTCATATATTTTCAAAGGACACCAGACATTACTAAATAGATAATTACATAAAACTGACACCCAACATAAACAATGGCTTAACTCCGCTAAATAGAATTTATGAGTGGAAATCCACAAGTCTCCCCACTCTTTAGGTGAGAATGGGTATGACATATCCTTAAATCATTGCTACCTATTAATTTAGTAAGCTTAAAAATTCTACAAATTTTTATACAAAATAACACGCTTAAAAAGTAAAACATTCAAATTTGTACTCATCGTGCAAAAAAAAAACACAGTTGACATCACGGCATAGTATGTACTTTTTTTTTAATTAAGCAACTAAAATGCATTTTTTGGTCTCTTGAATTCTTTGGCTTGTTTCGTTTTCGAGAAACAATAACAATTAATTGTATATCCCTAATTAATACACTGAAAACTTCCAAATTCCAAGTAATCTGACTAACCGTTATTAAAGGTATTAACCAAAAAAAGAGTGGAATTTGTTGCCAATTAGGGACATGCAATTGGGTTTTATTTTTCTCGAAACCAAAGCAAGATTTTTTTAAAGTTTTGACTCTATCTGGAAAACTATGCATTTCTGGACCCATGTTGATTGAAAACATTTCATTTTTTTTGTAGAATCACCCCTTAAATTATTCGAACGTTATTTTCGGACACCCTGTTTATTATTTAAATTTGTAACGTCTTATTTTTTGGAAGAAAGATTTTGTCATTAAATATCTGCTACATTGCGTTCTTTTTAGCAAGTTTTGCTATAAACACTCATCCATTTCAGTGTAGATATATTTTGTTATCAAATACTCACTCAAAGAACACGTGATAAGGTTTCTCGTGTTTTGTGTTCTTTTAATTTTAGTCTGATTTTAATTGAATTGGTTTAAATGGCAAATAACATAGTATCTGCCTTGATTTTGCGAGAAGCTGAGGCAGTCAGATCCTAGAAATACTAGCTAGTACCTGCGGCCTAGGTTTGCCCTGGTCGTGCAGCATATAAGCAAGTGTCATTATTTATTTCTCCAATAAGCGCGCAATTGAATGGTCGGACTTTATTTTTATTTATGTTCACGCCTAACTGCCGCTGACATCACAAAGAATGCTCTAAACTGAAAATTTTACTTAAAAAAATTAAATAAAAATACCAATGTTTGAGTTTCGTTCACTTGAACGTTAGAGTAGCTTGAACATCTCGGTGGAACATTGAGACACCATTGAAACGTGCGTAGCGTTCTGTTTTTGATCGTCCACACTAGTGTCTCTACAGGTTCGCTGTAAGAAAAAACAGTACAAAAATAATTACCATTCCATTGCCTTGTGAAATACTTAAATGGCACAACCACCGATTTTCACGAGATTTCTTATTTTTTCGGACACGTTTAATTGTTAGAAATGACATCCATTAAAAAACACGTAAGGCTCTTGCGTTAAGCGATAATTAATTGCCTTTATGATTGCGCCAGTGTTTCACTGGTATTAATGTGTATGTCGAGTTTGTCTCACCTGATTTGCATCTGGCAGATGTGATCTCCGGCGAGTTTTTCGAAAGACGGCCAAACGCAACAACATATTGTAAACAAGAACAAGGCCTGCATCTTCTACCTAGATGGAATAAATTTACAAGCATTTTCCACTTAAATAATTTTAGTGGTTTTGGGATGATTTAAATTGTAAAATAACTATGTCATACATTTTCATAGCGGCATTGGCGGATAATATTATTATAACATTGATTCGCTACGTCCTCTTGAGGTAACAGAACAACATATGCTGCTTGCTGTTGTATTATTATGTTTCTGGAAAGTAAATATATGGGACACGATTTTATTAATGTTGTTTGGATCGCGCGGAAGAATAACGCGTTTTCCTTGCATTTTTTTAATACTCCTTTTATAATTTTTGCAATCATTACCCACTTTAACCATTAACAGTGAAATAATATTGTTAGAAAAAGAAGTAAAATTATAGCTACACTTGGCGCAAATTGTCATCTCCTGCTCTCCGATATCTGCGTTATCTATATTACACTTCCAAAATCGAGCCAAAGCCCGCGAACACGCATAGCATATGTTTTGCAAAATAACCAACAAAATATGGCATATAATGATATACAGTTTGTGTCAACCTCCTGTTTTTCTTTAAACTAATTATCATGTCGTCGTTCTGATAATGAGCCATGAAGTTTTTTAATGCATTAGTTGCAAAACAGACAATAGAAATTCGACAAAATTTAGACAACGTCTCATGAGCGACACTTACTCCAAAGAATATCGCGATCCAGTTCTCCTTAAAATGTCATTAGGAACGACTGTTGATGCAAACCAATTAAGGTAGCCACACCAATTAATATACACAGCTTCGTAGGGCCCTAACAAACACTCTGAATCGAAACTTCTCCATAACACGAGAGACTCTGGGTCACTGATACGACAAAGGCCCACGACGACCGGATAATCACCATTCGTAGGGTCATGTGTGTTTTAAATTAATACGGGCCTTATTTATTCGATTACGCAGTAGATGCGAGTCGGTCGCTGCAAATTAAGCGATAAAACACATCTTTGGCGAACAACCCGATGTTTAAGTCGACTTTTTATGGCGTGGAAACTGGTTAAGATATACCTATTGTGTATGACATAGAAATGACAATATTTAGTGTAGATCAGGATTACTTTTCAATTTTGGGTCTTGTGGTTGGTCGTATCAAGAGCAGGTAAATGACACTCAAATCATAAGTTTGTACGAACTCTCCGGACACACGCCATTATGTGGAATATAGAAGCATAGTCTTCTTTTCGAAGGTAAAAAATAATAGAAGACGCCAAATTACTTTCATAATTCGTCGAAAAAAATTGATTGTGTTGATTGATTGATTATCTAGTTACTTTTTGTGGCATTGTGAAGTATAGGAATAATTTTTTATGATTTTTTATGATCTGTTTCTGAAACATTATTTGATCTGGAGAAAAAATTAGCGTAGTAAGTTTGCTCAGAATTTTTAATTATTTACTCGTGAAGTTTTATTTTGGTTTTGTATATTGTACATATATCTTGGTCTTTTGTATGTTTATATATTTTAAAGAGATGTCGAAGATATTGATCTTCCTTTATCAGTTCTCTCGACTTGCAATCGATTGGCTTATTAGTAAAACATTTCTCCAGGAGAAATGAGGTACACAGAGCGTCTTATGATTAATATTACTTTCCCAGTAAAAAACCGTTTGAAATAGAACAGTTTTTGATGGTGGGTAAATAAGCAAGGCACACAGAAGAAACTGCAAAATGTGATCAGAAATATCACAATAAACTACACTGGCTCGTATCGAATTTACATTGAATGTAGTGAATATATTATCAATAATAGATCTTTTGTTGTGGTCAATTTTTATGTAATCATTAATGCTTTTATTGAACCCAAAGCTTGAAAATAAATGAATAATTTTTAACGCGTCTTTAGTCTGCGCAGCTTCAAAATAGACGTTGAAGCTAAAGTTGATGGCTTAATCACCCTATGCAAATTAGTCAAAGTGTATTCAAATTTTCTTTCAACGCTATTGAGAGTAATATTAATTTCGTTAAATAAGCAATCCTTGCTTACAAAAATTGCAACAAATCCGCCGCCTGAATGAATTCGTGAGAAATTTGAAGCTAGAACATAGTTTTGAATACAAAGTAAATTGATATCTTCATTGTTATTCATTGCTCCCTTATATCATGTCTCCAATATACAAACTACATGCGAGAGAATCTAGTAAATAATTAAGCTGAAAAGTGACACACCAGCAGTACCGGCTGTCACAATCTCGGTCTATTGCCAGTCCTGATGATCTGAGGCATTGTTGCGGAAATTTATATCCCCATTTCCATTGTTTATATAAAATCGGTACGAGTATCAACACTTTTTTTCGTCAATTGTTATTTTTCTCTCAATTGTTACGTTTTTCTTTTCTTTACTTCATATACCTTGATATTAGTGGATTTAACTTCTATGACTTCTATATAAAAGAAGAGGCACCAATAAACAAAAAGCAGTTTTAGAGGTTAATGTCAACTGGCAATATTTATTGAGGAACATCCTTTACCGTTGAAAATGAAAATTTCCGTTTTGGATATATCCAATCTGACAATGACAAGAAGTCTTTGTCTACGTCACATCTGTGTTGAAATCAGGGGACGCACGAACGCTCGAAGAAACAATGCGCCAGTCGTCCTAGCTAATAATAATAAAAAAAAATTCAGGAAGTTCAATGTTTGCAATACGTTGTCGTAACCGGTTGTTATTGAAATAGATTTATAATTGCGATTTTGCAAGACGTACGCAAAATTGTTCAAATGTGGAACAAGGTCCGTTTTTTCATTACACTTATGTACGATCATTTAAATCCGATTGCGGTGCAAGGGTTAATAACGATCGAAATTTTAAAATTTGACTTTAAATATTTGCCGTTCTAAATAAAATAATTTATTTGTCGAGCGTTGAACAATCGCTTTCGAACGCCCACAGATTCAACGAAGGCCCTAAGCTGAGTAATTTTACGACCGAAACGACAATTAAAAAGTATATTGGATTGTTATTTCTGGACAGACAATGCTGACTGTAAATTACGTCCGCCTATTCGGTATGAGGCAATGTTATGGGAATCTGAGGAACTTGTAACAATCGCTATCTACGTTTGCGCGTAGCTAAAAGTATGGAACAATTTATTAATAATTTAACAATACTGAATCCAGACAGAGATTTAAGTTTACCAGTTGATCACATGAAAAGCCAACAGAACATAGCATGCGTCGAAAGGGGAGGTTTTTATTATAACATCATTACTAATTCAAATTTAAAAAATGTTTTGTTTTCTAGCGATCATTATTTTAACTTTTAATTCAGTTAATTGTTATCAATAGACAAAAATTCAATAAACGAAATACACATTTGAGGGGTAATGAGGTACAGGGTACCCAATGGTTCTGATAGTTTGCCATTTTTATATATAAAATTTACATGGAAACTGACTAACCAGAATTAACCTAATAGGCCAATTATATGCACAGAGTTTCAAATAAAATTTATAAACAAAAACGTATTTTTTTAAATAAAGTTTAACGCCCTGCATCATAGAAACGAAAAATAGCACCACATTAAAAATTCCAATATTTTTACACATAAAATCTGTCACTAACAGCTTGACTCATCTTTTTGACTCACCGTGTGTGAATCCTGGAAATGTCAACGCTATATATAATTTTGACTAGCAATATCTAGTAGCCTTCCTTTTTATTCACGAATCTCGCTAAATTGATATAAATTTAATAGTGGTTTTTTCTTCTTAAATTTTAATGCCTCTGAATGGCATTTTACGTGGCTATCAGGCGGTATCTTGACAAATGTCAAAGCATCATCTGCCACAGAGTTTAAACGTATCAAAATTCGTTACAAAACGATCGTTTCAAGAGCATGTTGGTAGCAATTGCCGTTTTTGCATTCATAATAATTTTTAATGATACCTTTTTCGCATCGCATTCCTATGTTTCTGGACTTGTTTGTCGGGGAATTCCATTACACAACGAAAGTAAAGTACCATAACGGATTCTTGGAATTTTATTCTGACAAAATCAAGTTTATTTACAATTGAAAATAGCGCGATATCGCGCTTGGCTGAAACATATCACGTAAGTGAGTCGGAAAATTATCCGACTTTCTCCCCGGCGTTAACGGCTGCCAAAACTGGAAATAAAACCATATTCACTTGCATGCCGTTAGAGTAGCCTCATTGCTACAACGTTGCGTCATGTGATTCAAAATAATTACATTTTTATGTTATTAAATATTAAGTAAACAACGCTTTCCGAAAACAGTTACGCGGGGCACTGGGAGATTTTCTTCCATCTTTATTTAAACATTTTAAAACTAATGATTATTAGTAAGCTGCATACTGGGACAACGAATTGATTATTTCACAATTTCTACATTTTATATAATAAATAAAGTATTATAAACAAGTTGGTTGATTTTTTTCTAAACAAACCCTGTTTGCATGTATACATTTTGGTAGTCTCTTACAATATCAAAAATAGCACTTAATACAATCCATAAATCATATATTTTTTTTCCGTTCCAAATCAATCTTCGACAAAATTTTACAAGTAAAGCAATATTTAAAATTCAAACATTCTGAAGTGAGATGGTCAAAGTTGAAATGAATGCTTTACGTCAATTGCTAGTGTCGCGTTTTAATAAATCAAATTCAAAATGTTCCTAATATGCTACCGTCTTATCTTAATCTCAAAACGCACAACGCGATCGAAACGAGAATCAAAATATTGCCGCAGTTCCGCTGTCCGCTATTGTAGAAGCCTCCAAAAACCTGCAATCCTGCCGTTTCTATGCTTTGTTTGCAATAGTCGCCGTCGTATAACCATCCAATATACTCTCCGGTCCTCAGATTCTCATTGCGTAGCCACTCCTCGAGAGGATTGAAGTATTCTCTCAAAGCGCCTCCGTCGAGTCTACTGTCTCCCGTGGCTTGAAACAAAACGTCCCTCCAGGATTGGGATGAACCCTTCTCCATAATATTTCTGTAACAGAGTCAAATTCATTGGCGAATCGAAAATTCATATTTGCTAGATAAGTTCTGCATGGGTGCAAAAGAAACCCGAGACAGTAATGCAATAGACTCAGCCATTTTCAATTATAGATGAAAAGTTCAATAGGCTTTTCCTGGAACTATGAGTTTATTCCTATAGCGTGTGATAAAATATTGACCTCAGGAAACCAAAACAGGAAAAACAAAACAAATGCAAAAAACTTAAGAGGGTGATTCCGTCTTTAAAATAAAGTTTAGCCTATCAAAAACCAACCATTAGGGAGATATTCCGCTGCAAATATGGCGGAAAAATAATGTTGTTACATTTATCTTAAAGTCGAATCGAATCGAATAGAACAATAAAATATTACGGAAGTATTAGTATTATAAAAACACAGTAAGGGTAGTCTATCATTCTCCTCTCTAAATTTAACGAAAAACTTATACAATCACATAAAAAATACATTTTTTTATTTAGACACTTGTGGCTACTCCATTTTTTCTGAATACTCACTGTATCTAAATAAAAAAAATACGAGAAAAATTTTTATTAGAAAAAAAATCTAGTTGGCTGCTATCACTTCTTAAATCCTTTCTTATAATTGCGATAGCTGACATTACTCAGTTTGAATACAAACTGTCACTAATTTATTCAATAATTTAATTTAAGTTAAAAATGATAAGAGTAGACTAATTCAATCTCTTCCACGCATTTTGAAAAATAAGAAAATATGCAGAAAGAGTATGTATAATAGTAATACCTCGGAAATATTTTGGTTAGTTTTGGTTTTGGTTGGCTCTTAACCCAACGTTTATATAACAAACTACCCCATATATTAACAGTTGTTGTGGTCCAGAAATAGAGGGACGAATTTTGTCTTTTTCTCATGACATAGTTATCAATTTTAAGAAAAGTGCGTGGGCAGAAGTTCGGGATAAACTGGAAAATGGCTTACAGAAAATGAAGAATGTTGCTTTTCTTCTTAGTTCCACATTATAACTCAGTGCAATTCAACATCATTAGTGAACTTCGTAAAGAAAGTTTTTGTACCTAAATGAGAATGAGATCAGCAAACGATGTATCTCCAAACATTTCATTTTTATGAAATTCTGAATCTATTTATAAACTATGGCATTTTGGTGTTGGTGTGTCTAGTTTTAAAATAGTTAAAATCAAATCAATCAAAAAATATGAAAACATTTATTGGGAAAAATAGAGTTTCCAAGATACAGGCTGTTAAATTGGCAAAAAAATTAACTTAATATTCACTCGATTTTGTTGAAATTTGACAATGTTATTTGATGTATTAAGAGGCTAATTTAGATAATGGATCAAAATTATTAAGCCCAGTGGCACCCAGAACATAAAGTACACTACAACAAATGTTGGAAATGACAATTCTTTGAACGATGAGTTCGAGTTAAAATTCGAGATCTAATTCTTATTTTTTCTCAAGCATTTGCGATTTTTTAATTCCTCAATTTCTCTATGGGAGTAGCGCAAACCACCTTAAGGTGTAAATTAAGAAAATATGTAAATAAAAATAAAACAAAATCTTTTTACAGAAAATTTGCAAAGAAAAAAGAAGAAAGCAGAAATGATTTTTTATTTTGCAAAGCACTTTTCGATTCAGATGTTTTTACAAAAAATGACATGCAATAAAACAAGCTATATTTTTAAAACTTTCCATTTGTTTATCCATGTTTACAAAAACTTTTTTTCATATTTTTTTGACGAGGAATCGTTCTCCAGAATATCTCTGTCTATTTTTCGAACGCTCTGTTTAGCAAGATTTATTATATCCACGTGAATGACAAATTGTAGCAGGTACCCATCTCTCATGACTATTGTACAAAAGGTAATACTAATAACCGATTTAGCACCGGATATTGTCAAAATAATCAGGGACAGCGTGTCAAAAATCGACTACGTGAGACTTGTCGCCGTTCATTTGTTTTATCCGTCAATCTGCAACCCGCCGATCGGGCTTTCGCAACGTTCCGTGGAAGCTTTGACTCCTTTCACGCGAGATCCCCCACAAAGACGACCTCGACCGAATTCTGGTGCCAGCAGGCAGCGGAAAAAGGAATCTTAAATGTATCACGTTTACCACGTCTTTTTCCATCCTGTCGCGTTACGTAAGCGGCAGACTTACAAGAGGACACAAGAAATGTACGCTAAGACATACGTAGATGTTGAGAGACATAAAGTTCATCCCGATGGAACATGCGTAACAAATTTCTATCTCTTTCTCATCGGGCAGACGTGCACTTGGCATTCGAAGCGAATCAAAAGATCAATTGGTTCCGCCTAATTTCAACGCGCGTTTTATATGAACTACGTGACCGAAGAAATGCGAATTAGAATAGCCGGGAGTCCTGAAGAAATTCGATGAACGGTTGTGAATACAAACCTCTTACATAACGACCAAGCTAAGAATAGGAAATCAAAATTGCGTGAAATGTGAAAAGAATGGCAATATTTGTTTAGCAATGGCGGAAACTGTGCCGTGTCGGTATTTGTTTTGTTGAGTCGCCTATATTACATATATGACCATATTCTTTAAACGTTCGGTCTTTCAGTCTTTACTCTTTCGAATACTTATTCATTCGTTTCAACAATACACAAATATTATTGTTATTATTGAATAAAAAAAATGGACGACTATATTATGCATAACCCTTAAGAAATCCTCAATGACAATGGCATAAACAGACCTATCCATTCGAGGCTAAACATCCGTTTCTGCATTGTCTAAATTAATTGTTCCCTCAATTAATAACCGATTTCAGTTAGAGTGCAACCCGAATTCACAAGCGGAGTAAAGCAATTTTCTTATTTAATTTCCTGTTCCTTTGGAGAGTCAGTTCCCACGCCATTTAGAGCCGTCTAGACGCATCGTATGCAATTTGTGTAGGCACAGATTGTACTATCGCAGTCCCTATCTTAGAATATCTATTATTTTTCCTGTTTATCTTTCACACAGCGTACAACACTTAACAGCTTCTAGGATGGCTTTTTAAAAAAAGGGCTACTTTACTTTTGGACGCTTTAAATTTAAGTAGGATACCGCAGGCTCCTTTATTTCTGATTTTGTCTTGTATTTCTATTCTTATCAGCTATAACCACAACCACCACACTTATTGTGGCACAAGCAATAATAATTGTACGATTCTGCTAATTCCAAGTTAGCTAGTAACACTTAATGACCCTAGTTATAGCAACAAGAGTGTACGTGTATGGAAGCAACTGAGCTAAACTAAGAGAGATGAGAAGATAGATCAAACTGCCGTAACAATGAGAAGAAGAACTGTGATCCAGCCAAACATTTAGTTTGGTGAATAAATCACAGTTTAGTTTTTCAGACTATTTTAACTTGTTGGTGTACTGTACCCACGCATCTCAGATTAGACACACAAGAGGTTGTGAGCTCGAACCCTACCGGCAACCATCGGAGTTAGAGTGAATATTTACCTCACTTGTTTCGTGATCAGGAAGTTGTTACCGAGCTACCAAGAAAAGTAAGACTTTTAGGGTAATATTTATTCATATCAACAAAGAGAATAACAAACGTTATAGCAAAAAAGGTTAAGGACTACAGGTCTTAGATATTAAAACTATTACCTTCGATAGGTAAAACGTAGTCATTTAAATGTGTGTCCAATTCAATCCTAATGTCGATCATACTCCTCTTTAATTAATTAGATGAGCACGTGTATATTGAATCGCAAAGATAACAACTCAGTATAAGATAACAAGAACTTAAGATTAATCGTAATTTCGGTTCAATGCATATAAAGGCAGGGGTAACTTTTGATAGTAACCTTTGATCTTTGATGCGACAGAATAGAGTACGTAAGTCAAACTAATTAAAATTACCATATATAAAAGGCTGTTGTTTGATTTTATAATTAAAACCTAGTTGAAACTGAATTGAAGCGAAAGTCTTAAAAACCCGACAAGTAGGGAGATGGATTAATACAGTATTTATTTCAGATGGATGAAGTTTTGTTTTGAAAAGATCAAGAAGATTAAATAAATTATTATTAAATTATATAGAGGATTTCAAGGCAAGTGTGAAACACTTAAGGGGATAAGTAGACTGGAATACTAGAGATTAGATCATACTTCCCAACCATATTTAAAGAAACACTTCCACAATGGCATGCAAAAAAAACACTTTTTCGACATGCAGTGTTTAATGTTTTATGTTTTAATATGGAAAGGGTAAGTTCTATTTCTATCTATCTATAAACCTGGCTATCAAATCTTTTCTTCCATCTTTCCATCTCATTGCTTTACTACTTATGATGGGGACAGGCTTATTCTATTCGCTCTACCAATTCCAAAAAAGTTAAAAAATATGTAATAAATCGGTTTTTATAATAGCAATACTTCTATAAAATTCCATCCCTAATAGTTGACTTATTTTACTTTATCTTCGACAAGGAATCGCCCCGTTAAATTTCTCCCATATGTTTTGAAAGACCTTGTAAATACCGCGAAAAAACATGCACTTAAAATGTCGAGATAGGACGAAAAACGAAAGCGACACGTGTCTCAATGCTCAGGAATTCGTTAATAAACTTCATAATATCCCGCTTCGCCTTAATAATCGGCTACTTGCTACGGAGATCGTTAATTGCGTTTCGCTAGAACTAAATCCGCGCTACGTGTGCATTGCGAAACGTCGTTTTTAACCTTAACGATAGTATCTGTTATGTGCTGATACTCGTAGCGACGCTGATTTATTATACCATTGTTTTTGCTTGCCGAAAGGCGCGCTTTGGCATTATCTGTTTTCTGGCATAATTTTGGATACAGGAGTTGAACGAAAAGCCTTCCTCAATCCGCAGATTTGTTTCCCATTATCTTAAAAATTCTAGACAAGACCTTGCGTTGCCCTTGTAGTTTGAGTCGTTTATGTTGACAAAGTTTTTAATTCAATTCCTGAGATATTATACCTAGAGCTAAAGCATGAGTGTGAAAAA